TTTGATTGCTGTAAGTATATGTACCTAAAAAAATTACATTTTTTTCTAAGAATTTCGAGAGCTGGAAGGGGTGATTTAAAAAAATCCCTGTGTTGTCTGTTTTTTTAACTTATGATTTTTTGATTGCCCCCTTGCTATCTTCTCTCCCCGTCTCTTTAGATAGACCTCATGTCCAACTGTTCACAAATTTATATTTAAGTCAAAAATGCCTTATTTTAGATTTTGAATGCTGTCTTGAAATGTTTTATATGAGTTTGTATATGTATAAAAAAAAAAAATTGAAAAGTTTCAGTAAGATAAAATTGCAGCTAGATATTAAAAGCAAATTTTGGAATCCCATAAGGGTGACAATTAAAGTTCTTAGTTTAATATCTAAAAAGAAGAACAGACGACATTTCTGGAAACATCTACAAAAGTTTTCCTTAACTGTAAGTCAATGTAAGGGTGCTTCATTTTTGTCTCGCCTTGACGGAGTCAAAAAGCGCGACATAGGTGTGCTGATTCCGGCGACGGCCGCGTCACCGTCAACAATGTATTAGTTTGTGATTAGGTCTAGTTCATGGTGAACCACTAGTGGTAGGTCAATGATATTTGGTATGCAGTTGTATTAGCATTGGCACATCTCATTACCATGGAGATTATTTGGCCCCGCCCCCTCAGTCAAGGTCTATTGACTTTGAAACTTTTCATAGTTTACATGTATTAGTTTGTGATTAGGTCAATTTATGTGGAACAACTAGTGGTAGGTCAATGATATTTGGTATGCAGTTGTATAAGCATTGGCATATCTCATTTCCATGGAGATTATTTGGCTCTGCCCCCTTAGTCGTGGTCTATAGACTTTGAAAAATTTGCTAAGTTAACATGTATTAGTTTGTGATTAGGTCAGTTCAAGGGGAACCATTAGTGGTAGGCCAATGTTAATTGGTGTTTAGTTGTATAAGCATTAGCACATCTCATTTCCATGGAGAATATTTGGCCCCGCCCCCTCAGTCATGGTCTATTTACTTTGAAACTTTTGCTTAGTTTACATGTATTAGTTTGTGATTAGATCAGTAAAAGATGAACTGCTAATGTTAAGTCAATGATATTTGGTATGCAAATTTATTGGCATTTGCAAGCATCATTTCCATTGAGATTATATAGCCCCACCCCTGATCATGGTTCATTGACTTTGAAACTTTTACATAGTTTACAAGTTAATGTTTGTGTTTAGGTTTGTTTAAAGGGAATGACTTATAATTAGTCAATGGTATTTGGTATGCAGTTGTATTAGCATTGGCACATCTCATTCCATGGAGATTGTTTAGCCATGTACCTTCAGTCATGGTTCATTGACTTTGAATATTTGCATAACTTACATGTTAAAGTATTGCTATTTTAATTTCAACATTTGCATTATCAAAATTACAAAAAGGCGAGACATATCTCTGTGATAACAGTTTATATATAATAACATAAATCTTCTAAAATAAGATCTATAAAAGTAAGAGGTATTTAACCAAGTCCCACGTATACCCCTTTCAGTACCTGAAAACAGACCTTCCAATAAATGCTTCCTTGAATAAAACCTTTGTATTTAGAAAATATCTAATGTTATAATTTGCATCATGAATTTTCAAGTCAGATTGGCTGGATACAGCACCAAAGATGCTTATTGCATTTATAAAAGCACACAAAAAATTCAGAATTTACAGTATATTAAAAAATCTATTTGATATCATTCTTAACTTCTAAACCTTGCATAATTACAAAGTGAATTTAACTTCCACATGTTCTTTCAAGGTATAATTGTCCTGACCTGAACACACAATTATAAATGTGTTATTTCAAATTACCCTTTTGACTGGTATATTAACTACAATGAATAGTTTAATTTTCAAATTTGTCCTTCAAAATAATCTTTAAAGTCATATGAAATTTCAAATTAAAAAAAAAATTTGAATATGTTTTATAAACTTATATGACTATAAGTTTTACTTTAAAATACATGTAAGTGTGCATGGACTTTTTGTATAAGAAAATCCTTTATCTTATCAAATTCTTCAGAAATGTTTTGCTATTGAATTATTGTCTTTCTGTACTCTATTTCGTCGATAACCTTTCCGCATGCAGTGACCTTAACCACAAGACCTCTCATTAAGCTTTGACAACTGCACAGTGCAAGTGCAACGGAATTCATTGATTCTGAAAGAACAATTTAATACACCAAATCATTCCACAACTGTTATGACAAAGTTTAATTAACAAATGAAAAAGCATGGACAATATTTAACAAAATAAACATCGCTCTATCAACTAACTTATTTTTTTCATGTGCTTAATGATTCTGTGTTGATTGTTTATCAATGTCACAATCTAGTAAACTTTTGGAACAATCTCAAAGATCAATTATATTTAGAAGCTAAACTTTGTGATCAACACTCACTGAAGGAAATATTTATGTCAATTATACAGTATCGGGGCAATTAATTAAAAAAAAATTAGATGACTTATTTTAGTATATATATATGAATAATTTCCTTAACATTATAATTACAAGAAACTTGTTTCATATGGCTTGAAATAGGACCTGGAATTTAATGAATGGGAGTAAAATCTTAATTTTCATAAGCAAAATAATTAACCTATAAATGTTAAAACTAACACATATTGTTTTGAATAATTTTTTTTTAAAGTAATGGCTATGTTGTACAAAATGAAATATCTGATTGATTTTCTTATAGATTTCAGTAATTCCAGATTTAATTAGGAAGCAGATATAACATACAACTTCACAAGTTGTCTCAATTTGTGAAAGCACAAAATTAAATATTTGTCCCTCTTGATAAATATTATTAAGAATAATATTTAATTAACAAAGTGTGAATTTTAGACCTTCCATCTCAAGTATGTTTGATTTATATTCATATATAGTTTATGAAAATCATACCAACATAAATATTTTGACAAAGCAGGGATTGTCAATTTCAACATATAAAGAAGCTTGAATACACTACAAGATAATCTCCCTTTTCTTTGAAGATTGAATTGAATTATCAAATCTACTAACATAATACTTGAACATTGATTTTAAGTAAATCATTATGGTCAAATAGCATTAGACATTTTTGTACTTGAACATTTATATAATGTAAATCATGACCGTAAATTGCAATTTAGAACCCTGTCCAAAAGAAAATATTTTCCTTAATCCTTAATTCACATAAATCTGGCAGTTTATTGAGTCGGGTGGATAAATTATATGACAGCATTGTCTACAGTTAGATACCTGTATGATCTTGTTTTATTGAGGTTTTACAAATTTTCACTTAAGAAAAAGAAAGTTTTCAACTCTTTGATGTGCATTAAAAATATGAAAATTAAAAAGAAATTCCTTTTCTTAATTCCTTAGTTACATGTATACAAACAGATATGAGGTATATTATGTCAATGGGACAGTAAAACAATAACACCAAAAAAACCAAAATGGCTAATTGATTAGAATATTATATTCAAAAAGACAAGACAAAAAATTTGAGAATAAATAACCCATACATGTATCTCACAAAACATGTTTAACCCCGCCGCATTTTAGCGCCTGTCCCAAGTCAGGAACCTCTGGCCTTTGTTAGTGTTGTATTTATTTTTTAAATTTTGGTTCATTTACATGTTTCGGAGTTAAGTGTGACGTCCATTTTTGCTGAACTAGCATACATTATTGTTTAGGGGCCAGCTGAAGCCGCCTCGGGGTGTGGGATTTTCTAGCTGTGTTGAAGACCCATTGGTGGCCTTCGGCTGTTTTCTGCTCTTTGGTTGGGTTGTTGTCTCTTTGACGCATTCCCTGTTTTCATTCTCAATTTTATACTTCAATGGACATTGTTAGGAAATACATCCTTCACAACTCAAATTTTGTAGTTTGGGTCTGCTCATAAAAAGATCACTTGCACTTTATTATAAAACTTTATATTGAGAGAATATACAACTACATGAAAGTTCTATGTTATTACAATTTAGGAAACAAAATAGTTGTGTTAGAAGTAAATACAAAGATAAGTTTTAAAAAAAGATATAAAGACTTACAAATAAGCTTGTAATTGGTCAGTGATAAACATTTATTCAACTTTGAAATGTCTACACAATTTACTAAAAGCTAGAAATTTGAGACCAAAATTGGGGAAAAATAGGGTCAATTTCTCAAATGGTCCTGAAGGTATACTGAATAACTGATGATAGGTGGAATATTTGCATCCACATTTAACTATTATAATGATTTATTGATCTTCTAGTGGCAAATATATCCTGTATATTCAGGATCAGAACAAATAACTATAAATCCAATAGGTTGTTTGTGCAAAGTGACTCAACCTAAATAAAGGTCCATCAGATTTTCAGCATATGTTCATGGCAGGTAACTTGTACATTAGCAAAAAAGTTCTTAGACCCTTAGGCACATTTTAACACCTGTTTTACAATAATGAAATTTTGTATGGCCATATTTTAGACACCTATTGCACCTTCTGAAAAACAGGAAATTGAAGAACATTGAGACAAAATTCCCAAAAAATTCTTAAATGGATAGATAACTCAGGTGTAGACTATAGTCTTCTTTATAAAAATTTGATTTTAATAGCCTGTCAACACAATGGCATTATAACATTCACCAACATTAAAATGATTAAAATATCAAGATATAAAACTATAAATGGGACGATATTTACACTGTATCCCAATTTTCTACAACTGGATCCGGGTAAAATAGCTTTAGATATAAAATGAATGCCTGAATACAAGTAATGATTTAAATGAAAATTTAGCTCTAAAAACAAATGCATTTAAACAAAATTTCTGTGTCACAATGAATACTAAGAAAGAATACATTGTACTTATTATTATTATAGTCAGAACATGAATATGCAGGAAGGGCATCTTTTGTGCACTTATATTTGCTTTAGTTTGAGAATCTGATATTGTTATTTTAAAGTTTAATATTTTTTAATCAAAAATAATTTTGATTTCAGGAAATTCCATTGGTGAAGATTATGGCCATACAGACTCTCTATCAGCAAAACCCAACATGACACCCCCTTCTCCATCAACACTGTCAGCTCTTATTGATATTACAGCAGAACAGAAAACTATAGCAGATCTCAGGTAATCATTTAAACGGACTTTGGTTAGGTATTTGTATTGTACATGTATGTTTGATCTTCAGATTATTACTGTTCTTGCAAAGTTCAATTGATTTTTTTTTTCCAGTATGAAATTTTCATATTTGATGAAACATTACATGTATAAGGTGTGAAATCAAAACAGCCAGTACCAGGTCTGAGTTTGTCAGTCAATATTAAATTGTTTGCATTGGATCATTTGAAGAGATTGTACAAAAAGCTACCCACTATTTGTAGACATTGATGTTTTAGAATATATATTATATATACTATTACCATCATCCTGTTATATTGTATAAATAAATGTGCAAAAGAGTTATCTACCTTTATCATTGTAATTCCAATCAACAAAGTATCGTTGTTTCTGAAAGACAGAAATCAATTCATTTAATTTACTTTTTACTTTGAAATGGAATTGCCAATTGTATAATTGAAACAGTTTATCTTCAGAGTATTTTATTTGTAAATGAGGTTATCTCCCTTTAACACAGTGCAATTCCCGTAGAAACAATATTTTCATGATAAAGCAAAATAGAAATTAAAAGAATGGCAGGCTTATAAAGTAAATGTTTGTCTTAACAATCTTCTCTCATAGCATGAACAAATTCATGAAATTAGATAAATCCTCTATACAGCGTATAAGTTTTATGGAAATTTCAGAAATTTCAGTGCAGCAGTTGTTAAGCCAAAGTAAGATAGAGAATATTATATGAGTTTTATAAACCAATCAGATTTGTACTTTTCTCATGTCTATACAATATGAAAATTTAGTTTGTCCAAAGTCTCTTAGTTCTCTTAAGAAATTTCTATTAATTCATGCAAAATCAAAAAGCCAAAAAAAAAAAACCCAGGACTATTGTTTAGGGGATTTAACAAAACATGAAATGGAAACCTTTTGATTCTGAGGAAAAAAATGTTGTATTTACTCTATAGTTATGGTTTTTGATCAAATGAAATATAAGTATTTTGCTTGATGCAGTTGTAAATTGCTGTTACATGAACTTACATCTATTATCAAAGTTATAAGATTGATGGAAAGCTAAACAAACATGACAAATATATAATGTTATAAATGGTTATAGTTATAATTATAACCCAATGATTGGTTTATGGAACAATATAAACTATGGGACATTTGTTAAGGTTAGATCTTTTTATGTAAATAAAATGGTAAATGGGACACACAGATTTAGTATTGAGTAATTGTGGTATTAGTTATACAAGGTTCCATCACTACAACAAATAAAATATAGTACTTCTGTATAGTTCAATTTGTAAATTTTGAGATGCCATTGAATCTGACAACCAGAAATATCTTGCCGATTTGAAAGAAACTGGACATTTTTTGTTCAGTAAATTATATTTTTGAACTTTTGTCTCACTTTGACAATTACTGATAATACATAGTAATTTCGTAAATTTAAAAAAAAAAAGTTGACAACAACAACAACAACCAACAACAACAACAATACTTTATTTTAAGAGGGTTACAAAATTAGCTATATAACTAATCTTCCCTGAGGCCCTCATCATAGAAAAGCATAAACAAAATGCAAACATATACATGGCATACATAAGTATAAAAGTCAAGTATGATACAATGTATATTGTTAACAATATGTTTTATAATTTTATAGTACTTGTCGTATTACTTAAAGTTATCAGAGTGTTTTTACTTTCTCTATATCTTCTCTGTAGAGATGTGAATTAGTTTGTAGACAGTATCATTCATAACACATTGTATTAATCATTTCTCAAATGCTTTTATAAACAGTCAAATCATCTATATATCTAGCATGTATAAGTCAATCTGTGAAAGGTTCTGGAAAAAGCTTCATCATTTCAACCTTTGTGTAAATGACACCTGAATTTAAGAAGGCATAATTTTGATTATAGTCTTGAAGGCATTTTGGTTTATTTCAGTTTTATGTTCTTTATATAGGTTATATATATCAATATAACAAATCAGAAAAATTGTTTTCCAGTTTGACAGATTTTTACAAAGTCTGATAAAATACAAAGCGGGGTATCTCTGTGTTAATAGTTTTTTTTCAACATAAAGTCAAGAAAAGAACACCTATAACTAGCCTGTGAAGAATTTAAAAATAACATTCTTGTAATTGTATTTTCACAGGAATCAACTTGACTCTCAGAGGAAAGAAACCGATCGCTTACAGCAGACTTTGTATAGTGGAGAGTTCTCTAACTTCAAGTCAGTCCCAGTATCTCATCACTCAGGGTTACCAAGTAGTCCATCTAAAACTGGATTTTCTACACTGCCATCTACAGAGCTCTTCTCTGCTAGACGACCTGTTTATGATTACAATCCACCGTAAGATTTTAGTATAACTGATTTTAAATCTTAAGCTGTTGGAATTGACAATGATGTACTTCAAATTTAATTCATTGAAGTTTTGGCAAATATTATGTTTTTGATCAGTCAGTATTTGTTATCATTTTGTTCTTGCCAGGAAACTGCCTTCATTTGTTAGAGACTTCAAGGGTTGTCTTGAGTATAGATTATAGTAATTCCTGGACTTCTCCTAAGAATTAAAATCCATGCCGAAGAGTTCATTTGGTTTGCTGTGCAAGATGTATAAGTATGCAATCATGTCCAATCTCAAAGGCAACGTTTAATCTGAAGCCTCTTGTTGGGAAAGTGACTCTTAGGGCCACCTACAGCTGCTGCAAAGCAAAATTTTTGCCCAAATCAAAAATTCATTATTCCAAAAATGAAAATTGAAACTTCTACCTATATTGTGTAGGATATGTCAGTCAATAGGGATGAATACAAGATTAAATTGGGAAACATAAAAAAATCAGCAGTGCAAGGACACAGAAAAAAAATACTGAAAAGGCACAAGTGAACTTCAAGAGTGCAATATATATACATGATATACATGTATGATCTCCACTTTTCTAGACATGGTTAATAAATTTTATAACAATATCATTTTTTGTTTGATTGACAGATCCCATCTAGAGAAAGCTTTAAAAGATTCACAGGAGCAGGTTACTGATCTCAGGAAAAGACTACAAGAGGTAAGCTTTTCAATCTACTTTCAAAATAATTTCCTACTGAAGATTCATTTATATTTACAGGATACCAATTTTCGTGGATTTCTTGGGTAAAGGTTAACCACATTTTAGATGTATAATGAAGTACTAATTATCTAAAGGTTTGTTTGCAGACTTGCAAAACAAGAGAATCAAATATCCACGAGAATACAATTTTCCCTCAATCCACGAAAATTGATATCCATGAACATAAATGAATCCACAGTATATAAAATAAGGAGATAGGTATGATTGCCAATGTGACAACTATCCAACAGAATCCAAATGAAGGAGATTGAAGAAACTATAGGTCTTCATATACACTTCAACAATGAGCAAAGTCCCAACCGTAAGGTGAGCTATAAAATGCCCCATCATGTCAAAATGTGAAACAATCAAAAACAATAAAACCAACCGCCTGATTTGTGACAAATCAATAAAAAAAAAAAAATATGACAGACAGCAACCAACAACAACCACTGAAATTCAGGCTCCTGACTTGGAACAGGCGCATAAAGAATAATTTATAGCCCACTGATCAACTAAAATATATGGGTTAAAGGGGCATTAGCTGTCAAATTTTCATATTTGATTTATAACATATTAAAACGTATATCCAATTTACAAGAAGTCTAAAATAAACAATTAACAATGCATAGACTCGATAATATGTATCAGCATTTCATGTGTATTTTTGTCCAGACCATCTAATTGACCATCGAGATGACCTCCGAAGACTGCTGATTGTCATATAACCGGATATAAACATGAATATAAATATAAGTAGATAGGGACCATGTGCAATTGGATTTTTCTAGGTCTGTTAGATTTCATATTGTAGGTTAAAAAGTCTTGTTTATCTTCATTTTTACCTGTATATGAATAATTTTTTGTGGATCGAATCAATCAACCAAGTAGTTCATTCTTGTTTCACTTTCAATGTTGACCATCTTTTCATTTTAATAGCTGAATACATGCATAACCCATCTCCGGCTAAGGGGTTAAATTGAAGGTCACATTAATATGGGTTCAATGAGGATGAATTATTCACTTGCAAGGGAAAAATTCATTAGCGATGTTTCTTAGCTTATTTTGACAAAATTGAACCAAACTGTCTGCTAAAAGCAAATTATTATTTAACTATTTCTCTTTCATAAATGATTGAATAAAAAAAAAATATTTTATTTTTTTTTCGTATCTCGTAGCTAATGCCCCTTTAAGAAAAAGAAAAAAAAAACGGTATGTTGAGTGGTTATTGGGAAAAAACATTTTATTTTGCCCATAACCGAATTTTTGCATTGCCCATTACTATTAGAGTCAACACTTAAAAATAGCTATCAATAATTGTCATTGGCACACTGTTCTTAGTCTTCAACTTCCCATGAACTGTTTGGTATAAAGCAATTAACTCACATTTTCCATGGAAGACTCCCATTATAGTAATGGGAAAAAAGAATATGAACTGAAAAGAAGAATATTAACTAATAAGAACTAAAAAGTGTATCAATTCATGACATTAAGTCTTCATACCCACTAGATTAAAGTAAAAGTCAAGTCAGTGGTTTTATTGCTGTACTTCATCTCAGAGGTACAGTTAGGCCTTCAACGTAGAGTACTGTCAACACTGAGGTTGTGAGTATGAACCCACACATGGCAGGTACATTTGACTCCAATCTTAATTGACTAGGATTTTCAGTTTTCCTGCTGATGGTAGGTGGTTTTCTTGGTTCACTTTGGCCTTCTTCACCAAAACATTCTGACTGCCATGACCTAGTCAGTAATGCTGAAAGTGGCTTTTCACATCAACATTGGGTATAATCTCACACCTGTTCCTCACTGCAAATTCTAGAATTGCATTGCCTTAGAAATAGTATTTTTCATTAAATGGTGATCACACTCCAGCCACAGATGAGGTTTTATATCAACAAATTACAGACTGAAATAGGCAAGAAATCTAGACTGTCATAACTAGGCTGGCATTCTCAGTGGCAAAGTAAAAAAACACTTGGATAACCAACCCAGATATTTGTAAATATTTTTGTAGTGAATAGTATATGAATAGTGCAAATTATTTTGAATGACTTGACAATTTTGATAAAAACTGAGACTTCAGACAAAAATTATCAACTTTACTACATGCATTTTCTCACACAAGTTTCAAAGTATAAATGTATGACAATGTTCTTTTAATGTATTTTATTTGATGTTTTATCTGTAATGAACTCTTATTTTGATGCAAGCTGCAAATTCTGTTTTTAAACTGATAAAGGGTATTTTATAACATGTGCTGAACTATGAATTTTATTTTTTCAGAACAGTGAAACATTTGAACAGCACAAGAGACAGTTTAGAAGTACAATAGAAGATCTGAAAGCCAAGTTACAGCAGACAGTATCTAACAGAGACTCTGTCTTAGAACTCAGGTTAGCAATCCTACTAAGAAGATTGAGATTTCTACTTCCACAATGTAAAAGGTTTTCATGAATATTGAAAGTGTTTTATTCAGATTTGAGAAATCCTCTCCCCCCTTTAAAGAAAATATATTAATAAATAATAATTAGATAATTTTTCTAGAATTTGAATTTTTAAGACATTCAAAAGGATGCAGTCATAGGCAGGTCATTGTTTTTCAAGAAGAACAAATTTGCAACTGTATAATTTCGTATTCACTTTTTCTGCAGGCAAAGAGAGTCAACTAATCAGGAATCAATGATCCATAAACTACAGAGCTCTGTTCATCAACTACAGGAAAAGTGTAAAGCTCAAGAAGAGGTAATTTTCCCTTCCCCTCCCCACCATCAGCCCACAACATTCAGCAATGTACAGTGGATTCATTTATTTTCGTGGGTATCAATTTTCGTGGATTAAGGAAAAGTTGCATTTTGATGGATATTTGATTTCATGGTTTTGACAAAGTCTGCTTACAAACCTTTAGAAAATTTGTACTTCGTTGAACATTTAAGTTTGTGGTTCACCTGTACCCAAGAATTTCATGTCAATTGGTATCCAACAAATAATAATGAATAAACAATATATATCAAACTCTTTAATTTGCTTACTATATAAGCAGTATAAATATACTTTTTTAAATATGAATAAAAGGAGATGCTGAGTATAAATCGTTGAGTCAGCAACCCAATAACAAAAGTTTCCAAAAGACATCTAGAGGGCAGCAAACAGTTGGAACTTCATGAACTTGGTCATTGGATTTAAGGATGATAAAGAGTACTTTTTTGAAGTTCTTATCCAATTAAAGATTGAATGAGCATCTATAATTATTGATACATATAATTGATTGAGTAGTCACAGAAAAAAACAGTGACTCATATGACTGATACAACATTCACAGTCAAATGCAGAAAAAGAAAATAATGCTTAAAGTTCATTCAAATTCAGTCATGCCTTTCATATGTCTGTAGCCAGTGCTATTACCCTTCTAAATGACTCATAAGTACCATTTGAAAAAAGGATTTTTACATGATAGTTTTAAGTTAGATGATGGACTTCGTGTGGTGTATTCATACTGCTAGTAAAAAACTGAAATGATAACTTAATTAAAGAAAGCTCTTTGTTAGCAATATAAATAATTTTAACCATGTCACGAGAAATATATATTAAAAAAAAAATAATATAGCAAAAGTCATGAGAACTGTATAAAGAGAGACAACCCTTGTAGAAATCAACAGGCAAGAATTTTCCTTGATATTGAATACAAGGCAGTTTATTTTTTCTGGATTTTTATAACTTTATTTAAAGATATTATTCTATTAATAAAGTGACATACTTAACACTTCTTGTTAGTTTTAAAATTAAAAAGTTATCTTTTGATTATTTAATTGAAAGTGGCCATTGCTTAATATTAGCACAATAAATTGATTTAAATTTGAAAATAGTGTATCCATTCTTCAGTCATACTTTTACAGATAAATTTTCAGTATTTTTAAACCCAACTAATTACAATACTAAAATATACTCATGTAATGGTCATTCTATGTTAATTTTTATTTTTAACATTATTGCTTGTGTATTTGCTGTTTGATTTTTGTCTCACCTTGACGGAGTCAAAAAGCGAGACATTGGTATGCTGTTTCCGGCGACGGCGATGCTGTCAACAATGTATTAGTTTGTGATTAGGTCTAGTTCATGGTGAACCACTAGTGGTAGGTCAATGATATTTGGTGTGCAGTTGTATTAGCATTGGCACATCTCATTACCTTGGAGATTATTTGGCCCCACCCCCTCAGTCAAGGTCTATTGACTTTGAAACTTTTCATAGTTTACATGTATTAGTTTGTGATTAGGTCAATTTATGGGGAACCACTAGTGGTAGGTCAATAATATGTGGTATGCAGTTGTATAAGCATTGGCACATCTCATTACCATGGAGATTATTTGGCCCCGCCCCCTCAGTCAAGGTTTATTGACTTTGAAACTTTTCATAGTTTACATGTATTAGTTTGTGATTAGGTCAATTTATGGGGAACCATTAGTGGTAGGTCAATAATATTTGGTATGCAGTTGTATAAGCATTGGCATATCTCATTTCCATGGAGATTATTTGGCTCTGCCCCCTTAGTCATGGTCTATAGACTTTGAAAATTTTGCTAAGTTAACATGTATTAGTTTGTGATTAGGTCAGTTCAAGGGGAACCATTAGTGTAGGCCAATGTTAATTGGTGTTCAGTTGTATAAGCATTAGCACATCTCATTTCCACGGAGAATATTTGGCCCCGCCCCCTCAGTCATGGTCTATTGACTTTGAAACTTTTGCTTAGTTTACATGTATTAGTTTGTGATTAGATCAGTTAAAGATGAACTGCTAATGTTAAGTCAATGATATTTGGTATGCAAATTTATTGGCATTTGCAAGTATTGTTTCCATGGAGATTATATAGCCCCACCCCTGATCATGGTTCATTGACTTTTAAACTTTTACATAGTTTACAAGTTAATGTTTGTGTTTAGGTTTGTTTAAAGGGAACGACTTATAACAAGTCAATGGTATTTGGTATGCAGTTGTATTAGCATTGGCACATCTCATTCCATGGAGATTGTTTAGCCATGTACCTTCAGTCATGGTTCATCGACTTTGAATATTTGCATTTCTTAAATGTTAAAGTATTGCTATTTTAATTTCAACATTTGCATTATCAAAATTACAAAAAGGCGAGACATATCTCTGTGATAACAGTTTATTGTTCTCAAATGAATATTTATATATAAAAAAATGCAGGTATACTTATATAATTTTTAAAATATTTGTATTCTTATACATGTTATAGGGAATGTATTAAAGGCATAAATGTTTTTTAAAAATTTTTATGCCCCCGCCGTAGCGGTGGGGGCATTCAGTTTTACCCTTGTCCGTCTGTATGTACGTCCCAACATTGGTTTCCGTTCTCTAACTTGAGTTTGCCTCAACCAAATGTTATGAAACTTATACACAATGCTTATTACCACAAAACACAGATCAAGTTTGAATTTTGGTGGTGTCACTTTAACCGTTCTAGAGTTATGCCCCTTTATAAATGGAAAAATTGCAAAACTTTTTGGTTTCCGTTCTCTAACTTAAGTTTGCCTCAACCAAATGTTATGAAACTTATACACAATGCTTATTACCACAAAATACAGATCAAGTTTGAATTTTGGTGGCGTCACTTTATGCGTTCTTTTTAAATACAAGTGCACTTGCATACTCCTTGTAACCATGGTAATTGTTATGAGTATGATATGGTTGTTTTCTCATGTTTTAAACATTTCCTTAATATTTCTTATGTAACCTTCTGGATTTTTCGTAGACCTCAATTACAATTTTGCTCAGTAACCTTTATTTCTTGACAATTCCTTAAAAGTCTTCAAGATACTTCCAGGAAAATATTTTGTAATTTGTATTTCTAACTTATTCAATTTGCTGTATGTTTCTTCCCTCAATTAGACGAGTTCAAGTTTTTGTGTGTACACGTCCTCATCCCAGGAGGACTGGTGTCAGGTAAATTACTGCTGATTGACATTCATGTCGTTCATATCATCTGATAATAATCATCATTTAGAGAGGAATTAGTGTTATATACTGTCTATGTCATTTTTTCAGGATCTTTTAACTTAAAGTTATTTAAATTAAAAATTAACTTGAATACGTTTTTTTTTCATATGATATACGATAATTTTATTTGATTATTAGCTTATTTTTAGTTCATAAACCAGCAACCAAATCTTTATTGTAAGAATAACTAAAATGGGGACACCTTGTTCATTTTTTGTGCTTATAATTTAAAATGAATTTTATTTCAATTGTTATGCTCAAATGGTTGTAAATGACCAAATATATAAATGAATGAATGACTGGTTTATTATAGTTCAACCTGTATGCATACAAATATGTCATACAAAATTTGTTTTCCAACAGTTTTATTGGAAAATACACCCAAACAAACATGTAAGGCTAAGTATGGGAAACCCTTGCTGAAACTTTTTATAAATAGAATTTCAAAAAGAGTATTCTGCATTCTTAGTCGCTTTCATCTCAGAAAGCACCATCTTCTTTTATAAAAATCTGACTTAAACATAGATATCAGGTAAGCAACAGAGTCCTCATGGAACCTCTAATTTAAATTCATAACAAACATTAATAAATCATTTCCCATTATCTTAGTTTCTAATGTTACGGGCCGAAAAATGATAAACATTCTCATGAAATGACAAATAAAAAAGATAAAATGCCATTATTGTAAAAAATGAAGATGTGTATCATTTTGCTTTCTGGTAATGCAGAAATGCAGAATTTCTATGTAAAAGGTTTAATTTGATAAAATTCTTCAATTTTGAATCAAATCATACATGTTTTAATTATAAGGAGAATATTGTTAGTACAACTTTGAATGAACAATCTTGCACTATTGTTTGTTATAAAAAAGACCAATCCATATGTAGGTTATGTATGGTAGGAACAATTTGTATGACAGACAGATTCATTTCATTATAGTCTTATCGTAATGTGTGATTTTATTAACTTTTTTTGGTTTCGTTAGCCATGTTAGCATTTTTCTTTTTGTATTTTGATTGACACTAATTGTTTGGACAAAAGTTGGAGAAATTTTTCAAAATATTGTGATAAAAGATTTGGCGTGTATTTTATATAACAGGCCCCATTTATCATCATATTCTAGTGGTGTTGAGGAATGAAATATTTTTACTACATTTACTATATATATATTCAATGGTGCAAAATATGTAAATTATTGAAAAATAAATAAACATTATACGTAGATAAGTAAGTAGAACAAAAATTATAATGAAAGACAACAACACTTGTCTCCTTGACCACTTTATATTGTAATATTAAACCTAAAATATTTTCAAAGATAAAGCTTCAAAAGTGAGTTCTGTAATGAGATTATTATTTACTTTAAGAATCTTACACTTATACTGTTATTGTTTCAGTGTTTAAAAGTGTTGGCCAACACAATTATGAGTATGAAGCATTTAACAAAGTTTATTTTCATTACTGATAAATTATACAAAAATGCATACAATTCTTAAACAATGGAGTTTGATATCAAATAATTTATTTATTTGTTTATTAAACAAACAACTTTAATGTACCAAAGACAGATTTGAATGTTGTTTAACCTGATATTCACACTTCTAAAATTGCCCTCAAATGTATTAAACAAAAATTGTGCATCTATTTTCTATGGAAGGCAATTTTTTATGTTTTTGCAAGCTTCAAAAATGAATATTTAGTAATGAGTAAAATTACAGGTTTCTAAGGCAAATTTACAATATTTTTTCTGCATTGCAGGCTTTACTTGATACAAATAGAAAGAATGAAGACAACAGTCGAGACAAATACTTGTCAGAAACAGCAATCAACCAGATCAGGATTCTCTTGGGTGACGTGGAGAGAAAACGTGGTAGAAACTACTTTGATTCTGATCCTGTATCTAAACAAGTTCCTGGAATGTTGGTCCATACGTTAGAAAGGTGTTTACAAGAGTTGACTAGTGAAGCAGAAGACAGAAAACAGAGAGTTGATGATGTGAGATAATACACTACATTAGTTTTCTATAATATATTCTTTTTTTGCAAGAAGATGTTGACTAAAGAGACCTACGAAGTCTGATATTTTTCTCAAAAAGTATGAAAATACATAAAATTTGATAATGGCCAGTTCAGTTTCATTCATTTGTTTTCATATTATTGATTATATTATTAGACAATGAACTCTAATTAGGTTAATTATAGATAGATTACACCTCATTTAAGTTCTGTTGATTTATTTGTTGAATTCCTATATTGACTTAAATCTGTTTCTACTTGTGAGATTTTAGAGGTGTGGGGTATATATCAATCAGTCAGCAACCCAACAAACAACAAAAACAAAAAGACTACTTGTAGGGTCACCGTATGGCTTTTAAACAGTAAACAAATGACAATACAAAATCTCAACCTCTAAATCTACCTGTTGGTAAAAAAGTTGTGAATGTAGTAAACAGAGGCCTTAAGCTTCAAAGATATGCTATAAAAAAAAATTTCTCTCAGGGCTCCATCATTAAAATGGATAAGGAAGGGTAGGAAGGGAAGTTTATTTTTGGACATGGGTCGTAAGTCATTCGTTATTGTACATGTATGTCCATTTGATGTATGCAAAATTACACACAGAAGATATGTTGGTTGTGGGGGGATGGGGGTTGAAAACCCTTTCATTTGTTCATTTTAAAGGAACATCACTCAAGTATGTATCAGCATCAAAAGCAAACTTTGTCTAGGTTTTGTCATCTCACAGAAATAAACCCTTATCCACATATAAATATAAGGGTAAGTAGAACTTTTAGGATTATATTTCTGACATTAAACAAGATATTTTTGAGCCACACATTTATTCAAAGTACTTTTTTCATTGCATATTACACCTAATTGCTAACCTTTCATGCAAGATTATTAAAATTACAATTTACTTAGTTGAATAATTCATTTGTGTTCAATAGATGGAATTCTTTTCATAAAAAACATGTCAATGGTGAATGTGTTTTTTTAAGGAACTTTTTTGAGGAAAAAAAGTAATAATCATGGCATTTTATTATTTTACAGTTGGAAAGTGAAGTGAAATCCTTGAAACAGACAGTTAGTTCAGACAAAGAATCTCTAATCAAAGAACAACAAGAAAAGTAAGCAATCATAAGAATGACTTCCTTTTAAATGGTAACATTTATACAAAACTGTAATATTCAAATTAAAAAATATTGCATTCATAAAAAAGTATTCCTGATTTAATGTATAGACTTATTGAACATTTCCCATATGTACAAATATAATCATAATAATTACAATCAACTATTTTATTTCTGTTAAATTTTTGCCTGTCAGATTGGAATTAAATGTATTTATTGTAATTTTCAGTTTAAAATGTCATAGAAAGAAGTGGTAATGACAAACATTACACAACAGCACTAGTCATGTTTTAACAGATCATAAACCACTTGCAAGAACATTGTCTAACACATACATTTATTGTCATACATTGAGGTGCAGATCACTTTAATATGGTCAGTCACCAGTCATACTTTGAAGTTGAATTTAACACTACATGAGTTGTGTGCTCTTACTCTCTTTCTGAACTAAATATGGACACTCTTCTTTCACAAAAATACTGTACGATAATTTATAATAAATATTCTGTCTCTAAAACTTTTGTCTTGCACCAGGGAACGTTTCAAGCCTATAAGGTGTTCTTTTAATGATTCGAGCTCACCTGGCCAAAAGAATCAAGTGAGTTTTTCTCATCTCTCAGCACCCGCTGTCGTCAACTTTCACAAATGTCTTCTCTGAATGTACAGGGCCAGTTGCAACAAAACTGGACCACAGTCATAATTGGGATAGCTTGTTTAAAATATGTGTCTGAAGATCCCACCTACCACATGGCTAAAAATAGATCATAGGGGTAAAATGCAAGTTTTGTCTTTTATCTAGAAAACAGCAATAGATAGAGAAAAGTTGAGATTTGCCAACTGTCCTTTTATACAAAAACAGTCAGACAACTTTTTATAGGAGTTATTGGTATTTTAAATATGACAAGATTAATTACTTACAAGATTGAATATGATTTTTTCTTCAATTGAAATTATATGAAATAAGAATAAGTTTGCTGGTTTTGATTGTGATGACTGAGAATTCAGAATATTTTTTTCTGTAATTTTTGTGCTATTTTCACACTTCTTGAGGGGTGTGAGAAAAATATTTCTCCTCGCTAGTGAAATATCTGTTCTCAGCAAATGATTGGTCGAAATTTAATTATGATATTAAATTTTCTTGATCTCTTCTGAATTTCCTATTGCGACGTCCTGACAAAAGGCGACCATGTCTGATGACGTCACATATAAAGAACACAACTTTCTGCAAATCTTTGAAAAGGAAGGATAAAAATCATTAGAGAAACAGATTCCACCACTATAACTCATGTATTACGATATTTCTCCACTCTCAACAGTTAAATCTTAATTATTTAAAAAGCTCGGCAAGCCTCGCACTTTAGATATTAAAATTTAACTGTCTCGAGTGGAGAAATATTGTAACACTCTTGTTGCAGTGATGGAATCTATATGTTATAACATTTTGCAGTGTATAAAATGAATCAATCGAGCAGGGATGGGGTAATCGTAATCTGTAATCGTAATCGATTGTAATTGATAACATTTTTTCCAGTAATCGACAGTAATCTGTAATCGAAGATATTTTTGATTACATGTAATCGTAATTTAATCGATTACAGCAAAACTTATGATGTAATCATCGATTACTTTTCGATTACATTTCGATTACTTTGGTAAAATAGCTTGATGAAATATAATCTATTTTATATGAAAGTATGTATGTATTCATCACTTTATAGTACAGATAAAAATAAAATGTATTGATATGACTTAAGAGTTTATCAAATGCCTTGTTTCTATCTATTGGCTCCAGCTGCTTCAACCAGATCTATCAAATTATACTGTATATCTAGCTTTTGAAACAAATGACTTTTCTTGCTGGTCAATAATTTAAGACCTTTTATATAAAAATAAGAAAATAGATTTAAATAAGAAATAAGTCTTAAGTTAAAATCTGTACTATATTGCAGTAGTAAGCTTATTTGTATTAAAATTCCTTAAAGCATAATTTTCAATAATAGTTGGAATTTTAGCTTAGAATAGATAAACATTTGATTCATTATAATGTTATGACATAAAAATTACAAAGTACACGAAATCCTTTTGACAATGAACCAATGGCTATGCATTAAAATTCTTGTTCAGTAATAGAGATACATGTATCCAATTTTTGCACAAAAAATATAAATTGTTTATAATTTTGAAATGAGAATACAAAATTCTCAACAAACTTCTTGTCTTTACTAATCAGATGAACAAAGACTTCTAATCAATAAGATGAAGACTTTGTTTTGATTTCAATTATGTCTAATTAAGAGGAGATTTACATTATATTGCCCCAGGTTATAATTGTACTCCATTGGCAGTATTATAGCCTGTAATTAGGGAGGTTGTCAAAACAAAAGGATTAATTCATGCATGTAATTACAAATCATAAATTTTCATCTCTAAAATTAGCTGAACTAATTAATTATTCTACTTTTTTATAGTTTTTTTTTCAGAGTAAACTTTCAACATTGTAATGAACTATATTCAAATATAGCTGTTAATAATGAGTAAAAACAAAAAACTTAACTTTAGTCAGAATGACAGCAAAAATTTGCAAAAATTTGCAAAAATATGGAGATAATAACCTAAAATATAAAGAAGTGATTGATGCAATGTGATGCCATTGCAAGAACTTTATCACCAATCATTCATATTGAAAACCAAAATTTCTAGAATTTTTGAATATTTCGGATCCTTAGACAGTAAGAGCTTCCATCTAGAAAACAACTGTCAACATAAAATTTGGAAACAATGCTTTAAATGCTATTTTTGTAAAGTTCAAAATTTCCACTATACATACATTGAACAACATAATTAACTTTGTGTTTAACTTACTTTATTCAATTTGTAATTTTGTAGCATGTAATTGACAGTAATCGAAAAGTAATGTAATTACTTTTGCTAAAGTAATCGATTGCAATTGGTTACATACAAAAATCAGAGTAATCGATTTTTAATCTATTACACAAAAATCCTTCAAGTAATCGATTATTAATCGATTACATTTGTCAGTAATCGTGCCCATCCCTGCAATCGAGTAAATATTAACAAAAAAGAAAGAATATACTTGAATTAGAATATGACAATTTTTACCATAAATTAAGAAACTGAATGTTCATTTGAAAAAAATTTATATCACATTAAATGTGTTTGTTTCACTAGAGAACAGGAAGCATTAGGAATGTATCGCAAGTAAGTCATGGATGTCATAACACATAACTTTTATTGGAGCCTAATCAACATTGCTGAGCTGTATGAATAACCCAAGGAGTGTACATTTAGTTTAAATTTACCATGAAATTATTTTCCTAACATCTATTCTTTTCAGATTGATTAAAATGACAAATTTCTACATTTCCTGCATGATATATAATGAAAAAGTAATCTTGAAGGCCAACAATTATTCTGGAAAATATAAATTGTGATTTTGTTGAAATCTCCTTTCTTGTTTTATTGTTGATGGTATAATTAAACTAATTGTATGGGAAGGAATGACAGATTAAATGTGATCTTGAAAATAGAAACTTATGAAATGATATTTTTGTAGAAATAGGAAAGCTCTTTTTTCAAGTTTCAGGTGTTAGTTGTGTTAAGATACATAAAAATAAGCAAATTGTTCAAGTTAAACAGGACAATAAGTGCAAAAAACTGAAGAAATAGCGTTAAAATTTGAAGAAATTTTTTTCGCATAACTGTTACAATAAAACATAAATCAAAGTTTTTGATTTTGAATTATGATACATGTTACTTCTATGGTGCAATAGTATGTATATACTTTAAACACATGTCAAGAAAGTATTATTTGGCATAATATGGAAGTACAATTAATATGGTAAAAAAAAATGACACATCCAGATTTATTTAGCATTAAATTTGTACAAATGATATTTGAAAAAAAATAGTAAACTATATCTGTATTGCTGTTTGTGGATTTGAAAATGTTGATTATGTTGTTCATAAAATCCAGAAGACAGATTGCTTTGAAATTCTTTTTAGAATTTGCAGTGAATAAGAAGTATTACCATATAATTGATTGTTAAAAATGGCAACATCACTATTTGCAAATGGTAGCTAGTAAAAGGAAAAATTGAAAGTTTTTTGCAAATACTTAAGTAATATGAGTGGGAATTTGAAATCATTGATGACAATTTGAGTGTATAAATTTAAGCTGTTTATAATTGTCAGAGTAAAAGTTTCGTCCAATTTGATGCCTATGGTAGTAGATTTGACTAATTACAATAATGTTTTTTTATGTTCATATGACACCAACAGTAGTGTTATTTTAACACTCGACATTAAAAGGGCATGCCCACCATCAACTGTACTGGGAGACCACTTTGTATTATTTTCACAACTTTTTACAACAGATTTTTCTGTACATGTAAACTGATTTTCAACATAAAGGACTACCAGTGATATGATCAATAAGTTTAATCCTATATATGCATGATATGATGTGGAAGGCTTTATTATATTTTCAGGATAACAAGCATGACAACAGAGCATGAAAAGGAACTGAAAACTGCATTGGAAAGGGCAAGTAACTCCAGAAAACAAACTACACAGTTACAGTCTCAGCTAGCCATGTTAGAGTAAGTTTGATTACATGATGGCATTTCATAGCAAATTATCTCAAACGATATGAGGAAAGTCTTTGCTATCCATGTTACAGTAGATTATCGCAAATGACACTCATACACTCTGCTAGCCTTTTTAGATATCACAAACCTGACTAACAGTCAAACCTTAATATCATATTATAAGCTTCAAATTCAACTGTTTATTGCCATATAAATTTTAAAAAGTAAGTTTTATTATAGAAGATAACGTTTTTATAGAAATTATGAAAACACATCATACAGTTTTAGAATAAGATACCTAAAATCAATCTTGTTAGAATTAGTGAGCTCAAAGAAAACTGATATAATTTAAATTAGCAATTACCCTTAAGAAATGAGATGGCACACAAATTGAAATTGTGCATGCTTGCCAGTCACTTTTAAGACAATTCAGTATTCATTCTTTTGCAAAAGTAGATAATATCTACCAAACAATCTGGAAACAGACTGACAATAAATGAGATGAAGAACAGGAAACAGATTGACAATAAATGAGATGAAGAACAGGAAACAGACTGACAATAAATGAGATGTAGAACAGGAAACAGACTGACAATAAATGAGATGAAGAACAGGAAACAGACTGACAATAAATGAGATGAAGAACAGGAAACAGACTGACAATAAATGAGATGTAGAACAGGAAACAGACTGACAATAAATGAGATGTAGAACAGGAAACAGACTGACCATAAATGAGATGAAGAACAGGAAACAGACTGACAATAAATGAAAGGTAGAACAGGAAACAGATTGACAATACATTTAAATGAGATGAAGAACAGGAAACAGACTGACAATAAATTAGATGAAGAACAGCAGTAAAGGGGTTGTTCTGATTTTTTTAGTTAAGTCAAGTGTGTATAGGGGTTTTATGTTATGAATAAATACACCCTTATCCTTATTTTCTATGAGCAGATCTTAATTGACAGCAACCAAAGTTTATGAACAGGTCCATATTTTTGAAAATGGGCTGCTCATTAATTGCTTTTGTATTGTGTAAAGTCATATATCAAGATCAGTTCAGATCAAAATGGCCATTTCAGTTCAAATTCTATTAGCAAGAGAAGTGGTAATACTGCAACCCAAAAAAGATTTCTTGATAATAATTTCTTTTGGTTGAATGACTACTGGTACCTGCAAAAAGTGAAATGGAAATCCATCTGTCGAAGAAGCCATTTACCAATGTAAACAAATATATTTTAGGGGACAGTATGAGCAGCAGATCAAACTTAAAGATGAGACAATCACAGAATTAGAGACTAAGGTGAAACTGCACAAGGAAGAATATAATGAGAATAGGATCAAATGGACTGAAAAGGTGAGTTAACAAAAGGTTCAATGGTAAATTTCATTTAGTCTTTACAAGGGGTGTTAGAAAAAGAATATATTATGTGAGGTTTGGAAGGCGCTTTGAATTTTGTCCTGCCATGCTTAAATTTTATTATTTCCTTAATTTTTATGGACTGATCCTCAGAAATAACCTCCTTTAAATTTTCTTTAAGTGATTTCTGGTCCCTTAACTGAAATAATATCAGGAGGTCTGAAATTTAAGGTAGTATTAAATAATTGGAACAACTAATGTGCTCCTCTCATAAACAGAACTAGGTATATGGGAATTCTCGTTTCACCTACTTTGAATGGAATCTGTTCATTTGTTCTCATTCCCAGATTTAAAATTATGATGAAAGACATCTTGGCAAAATGGAATCACTTTTAAACAATCATAGAATAGGATTCTTAATTATGCAAATCTATTTTGATGCCCCCACCGTAGTGGAGGGGGCATTAAGTTTTACCCTTGTCCGTCTGTACGTACGTCCGTCCGTCCGTCCGTCCGTACATACGTCCCAAACAGGGCTTCCAAAATTATTTTTAGCCAGCCGGACATTTTATATATTATCCCGATTTTAATCCCTTAAGACTAAATAAACAAAAGGCAATTATGGTAATCAGTTGCCGAGTTGGACATCCCAATGATTGACATTAAAAAAAAACGATATTAAACTTCCTTTGATTCAAATTCGAAGTTCTGACGTAAACTGTTAAATTGGCAGTGCATCATTCGAAGTGTGCAAGATCAGCGTACTTATATCTGCCTTAGACTTATTTTGGCAAAATAACATTGTCAAAAACTTTACTTTCGTTTTTAAACTGGATGTTATCTTGACAATGGTAAAACATGGACCAGAGACGGATACGTAAATTCTGTGTACGTTTGCTAAGCATGAACGAGTGTAAGTAGCTCTTTCTACGTTATTTCTTCAAGAAAATATTCAAAATAAACGTGAGATAAAGGCATCAATGACAATTTAAGTATTTTTTGAAGAAATTAGGCTGCATAATTAAATTTCACACCTGCGCACACGTGTACTAGTTCAAACATGTCTCTGGTTCAAACAACGTGGTTATGACGATTTTTCATTTTCACCTTTTTAATTTTTTCATCAAATCATATTTGTAAACGTATTTCTGATAATTAAAATCTTTTTGACTAAATTAATTAGATGCAAACCGCTGAAATGTAAGAAAATAACTTTGAATAGACCGATCAATGTCCGGTACTAAAAAGTAGATGTCCGTTTCATGCTTTGCCCAGCCGGACTTTTACCGGACATTATACAAATGTCCGGAATATATGACCGTTTTGGAAGCCTTGGTCCCAAAGTTGGTTTCCGTTCTCTAACTTTAGTTTGCCTCAACCAAATGTTATGAAACTTATACACAATGCTTATTACCACTAAATACAGATAAAGTTTGAATTTTGGTGCCGTCACTTGTACCGTTCTAGAGTTATGCCCCTTTACAAATGGAAAAATTGCTGAATTTTTCATAATTTCTTTTTCTAAATATCAAGTATTTTTGAAATTGGAGTTAAATTTCTTTGTCCATGATTATGGTTGAATCAACAACAATCAATGCTTTATACAATGCAATGTTTAATTTTACCTTCCACTGATAAATTAAAGCAATTTTTACCCTTCATTTCTAAAAATATTTTAAAGTCTTCTTTGAAAATTTGAGTTATCTTTCTTTGTGCATAATGGTAGTTGAATCAACTACAACCAATGCTTTATACAATGCAATATTCAATTTTACTTCCTACTGATAAATTAAAGCAATCTTTTCCATTCAGTGCTTACAAGCACTTTGATTTCTGTTCTAGAGTTATGCCCATTTACAAATGAAAAAATTGCTGAATTTTTCGTTTCCGTTCTCTAACTTGAGTTTGTCTTAAATTAATGTAATGAAATATATATATAATGCTTTTTACCACAAAACTCAGTTTAATTTGTTTCCGTTCTCTAACTTTAGTTTGCCTCAACCAAATGTTATGAGACTTATACACAATGCGTATTACCACATAATACAGATCAAGTTTGAAATTGGGTGGTGTCACTTATACCGTATTTTAGTTATGCCCCTTTATAAACATAAAAATTGCTGAATTTTCCGTTTCCGTTCTCTAACTTTAGTTTGCCTCAACCAAATGTTATGAAACTTATACACAATGCTTATTACCACTTAATACAGATCTAGGTAGAAATTGGGTGGTGTCACTTTTACTGTTCTTGAGTTATGCCCCTTTATAAACATAAAAATGGCTGAATTATTTGTTTCCATTCTCTAACTTTAGTTTACCTCAACCAAATGTTATGAGACTTATACACAATGCTTATTACCACAAAACTCAGATCAAGTACAAATTTAGGTAGTCACTTTTACCGTTCTTCAGTTATGTCCCTTTATATCTTTATATGATATGCAAGCGGGGGCATCATCTGTGTCCATACATAGACACAATCCACATTTTTTTTTTTTATCCAAATGATTTCTGGGGTTGTCTGTAGCAACTTATGAACCTTGTCCTATACACAAATGGGAGACATCTTGTATCCACAGCTCTGAATAAACCACTGACTAAATGTGGACATAAATTTCAAACATTTTCATTTTATTTTCATTTTTGGTTTACAGAAAGATTCATTTGATGAGACATTGAATAGTGTACAGAGAGATTTACTGAAGACGAGATCTGAGAGAGATGAAGCAGTAAGGAAACTAGCAACTTTAGAATCTAAATGTGAAGAGTTACAGGTATGACTAGTTCAACATTATCCAATAGGCTATCTTCATATACTGACTTTTTCTCTGGAGTATATGATTATTGACAGGTTACCTACTCTGTGGTAGGACATTCTGGTACATGGTCAAGTATTAAAAATTAACTAAAAGAAATGAAGTCAAGCTTACAGTTTGTGCAATTCAGGGGGGGGGGGGGGGGGGGAATAACTGTTTTCCTATGATTCTGTTGTGTATAGAAAACAAAACAGTTTATACATTTCCCCAAATTAAAACAATTATCTCCGATGTTGAGAGTAGATAATATGAAAATATTTCGATTTCGTATAAAGTCTATTTCAATTTTATAATTAACAAATCCTTAAAAGGCAAAATTAGCTTCTTGGTAGTCTAAGTGTTGATATACATTGATAACATGATAAGGCATAATGTTACATGTAATGATGTCATCAAAATGTGAGCATGTTATACTGTTTGATGCCTTTTCACATACATTTTCAACTTTCTGTTTACCGAATACTTGAAGTGGGGATATTTTAAGTGAGCAGTAACTCATAATTCTACTTGTTTTCCTTGCACATTTTTTTTGAAAAACCATTAGGCACGAAGTATTTTAATTTTAAGACTTTCAATTCACTACATATTTTTATTCAGTTTAAAACATACTTTTTTTTAATTTGGTCAAAATATCAGTTAGTGATAACAGAGTTTTGATAACTGATTATTTTATATTCATAAAGAAAAATGTCACAAGAGCAAACACAGACTATGAATCAGAGAAGAAGAGAAATTCTGAACTTCAACAGAAAGAGACAGAGCTTCGTGTGAGACAAACAGATTTAGAAAACAAACTTGAAGACAAGCAGAAAGATGTGGACCGTTTGGACAAAATGTTAGAGCTTGTAAAACAAGAATGTAATTCACAAGTCAATCAAAAGGTAGGATATTTGTGTATACACTAATGATGTGTATGTATTTGGTGTAGGATTGTGTGTTAAGAAGGTTCATTGGGTCATTATACTGTATGTGTGACATTGGATTTCTTATGATGTTAATACCTGTAACATGTAATTGGTTGAAGGAATGTATAGAGAAGGTCAAGGGTTATTGTATTGCATGCCTTTTAATTCTCTGCATGATTTCGTCCAACACTATTGAAGTGATGATATTGATTTCTGCATTAAGAGTCAATTATGTTAAAAGCTTATATATGATTTTGTGTCATTTACCCTGTATGTGTGACATTGGATTTCTTATGATGTTAATACCTGTAACATGTAATTGGTTGAAGGAATGTATAGAGAAGGTCAAGGGTTATTGTATTGCATGCCTTTTAATTCTCTGCATGATTTCGTCCAACACTATTGAAGTGATGATATTGATTTCTGCATTAAGAGTCAATTATGTTAAAAGCTTATATATGATTTTGTGTCATTTACCCTGAAATGACTCAGATAATGATTTTGAGTTTTGGTTAAAGGTTAAGCCTCTTTATTTGGTTTACATTCAAGGTATTAAACAAGTTTTTTTTCAAACACACAGCAACACACATGTATAGATTATGTAAATACATTGGTGAGTTTTCAGAGTAATTATTTTTATTCTTTTTTTTATAATTTATTATTTTCAATTATTAGTTTGTTTTTTACAGTTACACATTTAACTTGCTTCAAAACATTTCATGCTATATTAACTTTAAATTGAGTTTTTGATGTAAAATATCCCATCTTCATCAAATCTGATATTGTTTGGAATCTGCATGGTCAGCAAACAACAATTTATCATCATATTATTTGTTCTGGTGAACCCTTAAATAAAAAAGATATAATGTAAAAAAAAAAGTTAAAGGTGGCTTGCCATCTGACCCTTGGCCCTTATCTAATATTAGCATGTTCCAAAGCCTTAACTGATTTTGTTTAAAGACATTGTCTGATGGACAAAATCTTATATAGTGTTTCAAGCTATTTCTGTTAAAAGAGGTTACCATTTCTGTGAAAAAAATATGTACTGTTTAAAGTAAAATTCCTATAGTCTAATTTTAAACAAATACTGTAAATTTAGAAATTATTGCGAGGTTTTTATTAATGCGAATAATGCAACTGGGTGAGTATCTCAATAATAAGAACTCGCATTTTGATATCTGATACATATATCTGTATGCAGATTTTCCTTAAATCACAATAATAAATGCACGCAATAATTTCTGAATTTACAGTAGTTAATGAAGTTTATAAAACAGGCTGACTTCCATAAAACACCACAATAAACAGAAATAATCCACATTTTAATCATTGTACAATCAATCAGCTGTTTAACATTGTTTTGTGCAGTCCTATCAAATTCAAAAATAATTCATGTCATCTTTTTAAATTGTTTTGAAAGTCATGGTTTACCCATTAAATGAATACTGACTTTATTTTAGGAGCCAATACAAGATCCTCGTGTTTTCAAAACACTGGTATTTGTTTTGTTTATGCCTCACAGTTTGAACATATATTGTACACAATGTTTTTCTCTCCTAGAATTTGTGCAAATATATTTATTGATTTTAATTTTAAAAGTAATTTAATAACTTTCTAACTATCACTACTCTTTTCTTCATCTACCATCTGTTTTGCACTTGTTTGTCAACATTTTATAATTTAGGTCGTGGAAAATAGTGAAATTTTTTTCACAGATACTACTTTTCCGTCATGATATTTGTCCTCTCTTGATTTTTAAATTTAGGAACTTTAACTATCTCAATTGGATGGTGGTTAAAAAAAAGTGCCGTCCCTGGGGGACATAGTATTTTCTGGAACATCCCTGAGTGAGGAATGGTTTTTGGGGTAAAGATTGCATTCATGCAGTCAAAACCCTTATGGGACTGGCTTGATAGTAATCCTTTCCAGACCTTAACACTACTTTTGTAGGCAAAAAAAAAAAGTGCATTGAGCAACATTTTATACATCCTATCCATGTACAGTTCAAGAAATTTATTAATGAAACATATACTCACATATTCAAGTTTCAAAATGATGTGTATAATTTAAAATATGGAGATGTGGTATGATTTTTGCCTTTAACCATCAGAAAACCCATACTGTAAATCAAGCTATAAAAGGTCCAAATGAATCATACTTGTCAAGAAAATTACATTAGTTGGTCATGATGCATAAATCTATCTGGTCTAAAAATATTAATGATATCACTTTTGAAGTAATGTTTAAAATTGGAGTTATCTCCCTTTGTGCAATATTGTAGCTTGACAAAAGGGATATATCTGATCATATCTCCAATTCAAAGTATTGCCTGCCAATGCTTAATACAATGCAATGTTTTAATTTTTAGTTCCCACTGCAAAATGACTGCAATCTTTAACCTTCATTGCTCACAAGCACTTTGATTCTAGACTTGACTTTAATCAAGGCCACTCTAAGCATGTACTTAAAGAAAAAATATTCAGAGTATAAATAAAATGTCTTTAGTCACATTACCAGAAAAAAAAACAGGACTATAGGTTTTTGGGAAATTAGAACAACAATATCTAATGGAAATTTATCAAAACTTATGTATGAAATAAATGTAATGTTGATAAACTTGGCAAATAATGAAACAGGTCACTACTCACTTCAATGTCTTTACTTTCTATCACATAATTGAATAATGAGTTGTATGTACTTTGTGCATTAATTTTATGTTTGTTTTTGCTTGGCTTCTTTGCTATATCAAGTACCAGTACCAGTATTTTGACTTCTCACCGTAAGAGCTATTTCCCTTTTGGGTATTTTTGAATATTTGATATAAGTATTAAACTCTGATTTTCAGATTTATATTTCAATATATTGTGTTGTTTCTTTACATGGAAAACATTTGCATAAAACAATAGCTGAGATGACCTTAGAAAAACAGACATCCTTAGGGGTGGTATTGTAAGAGTTCTAACATATATTTGATCAGTGTCAATTAAGTGTTTGTAAAGGAGTTATGCTCATTCAAAATAGAAATTGAATGGAAAATAACTTTGTTAGTGATCTCATTCCTACATTTCTAGTAGGATACTTATGAAAAAGTTGAAAAGAATCAAGATAACTTTATGGGGAATTTTTACCCTTGGGCAGATAAAACGTATGGATCTGCAGGGGTCAATGGAATAATGTTCTTTTATTTTTTACGGAGAATGTGAATGTTTAAAACAAAAAAACGCAGAATGTTTGTACATAAAAGTGGTTTAACCCAAACAACATTTAACATTTAATGCCTGTTCCAAATCAGGGTGTCTGGGCAATGTTGTTGTTTTTTCTTCTTTTTCAAGGAGTAGTCTTGGTAAATATAACTCGATTTTGCCAAGACAATCTAATAATACTTGTTCTGTTCAGTTGATGATTTGATCAGTATTTTTAGCTGTAGGTTTTTCTTAAATTCACCAAGGTATTTCAAAAACCATAGGTTTCCACACCAATAAAACTGACTTCCATAAAATTGTAAACAAAGTGACTTACACTCAGCCTTATAGATGGTTTAACAACTAGTTTTTCTTGCATCTATCAGATCAATTTAATTTTAAAAATAGACATATCAGGTTGCAACTTTATCACAGGTTCAATGGACAATGGCAACAACCTGATAGGGTCAAAGTATTTTTTTGTCTCAACTGCAGGGAAAGTTGCGGAAGTCGAGTCAAAGGTATTGCTTTTCCCGCGACAACAGTGTCAGCGTCATCATCGTTAGCTTCAACAGTTGTAAAGTTTTCTGCTTAAGTTGGTTTGATAAGAACTACTTGTGATAGTACAATGGTATTTTGTATGAGGTTGCATTACTATCAGTACATATCAGTTTGATGACTATTTTGAGGCTTTGAATTTATAAGCAATTTTCAATGTTATGTTTTCTGCTTAAGTTAGTTTGATAGGAATGACTTGTGATAGATCAATTATATTTTCAAAAAAGTTGCATTACTATCAGTACATCTTATTTTGATGCCTATTTTGAGGCCCTGCCCCCTAAGTCATTATCCAGTGACTTTGAATAAATTAACAATTTTCAATGTTAAGTTTTCTGCTTAAGTCAGCTTGATAGGAACTACTTACAATAGACAATGATATTTTCTATAAAAATACATTACTAGGTCATGGTCCAGTGAATATCAATTAATTAGCAATTTTCAATGTTAAGTATTCTGCTTAAGTTAGTTTGATAGGAACTACTTACAATAGACAACCATAAAAATACATTACTGACAGTACATCTCAGTTTGTTGAGCATTTTGAGGCCCTGCCCACTAGTTCATGGTCCAGCGACTTTGAACTAATAAGCAATGTTGCTGTCCATCAGACTTTTTTTTCTGAATTTAATGCTGACAGGCCAGACATATCACTGTGTCAACAGTTTATGAATAATTTTCACAAATTTATATTGAGTTTCATTTCAATGTTTTCTGACCTGTTCATTCAAAAAGACTGTGCTATTAAATAGTGCTTTCAAAAATTGTTTGTGTCTGTAATAAATGGTTTCTGGAAGTTAACTTGATTATTCCTTGCTTGATTTGAATGAAACTTATACAGATGGCAGAAAAAGAATATTGATTTTGGGATCAAAGGTCAAGGTCACTTTTACTAAGAATAGAAGAATTTGGGTAAATTTTTTTTAGGATTGTATCTTGAGTTTCCCTTGCTTGTGGTGAATGAAACAGATGGGAGATATATGGAAGTAGAAGCCTATTGTTTTTGGGGCCAACAGGTCAAAGTTAAGGTCACCTGTTACCTGAAAAAAATTTAAAGTGGGTTACATGATGGTATCCCACTATGAATTGTAACACATTTCTACAGGTCAAAGTTTAGCAATGATAGTACACTTTTGTTTGTCACTCCAAGCATATTAGTATTTTAAACCCTTAAAATAATTTTTTTTTTTTTTTTAATAAATGTGCAGTTCCTGGAACATCAATTGGCATTGTCAGCTTTTTAATTTGTTAGGCATTGAAATCAATATTGCTCATGTGAAACAGCTTTCTTTAGGGGACTTAACACTAGATTATCCAAGTTTTACATCAGCAAAACCCATATATGTATAGTCAGCTTTAAAAAGCCCTGACATGACAAAATGTGAAACGATTCAAAAGAAAAACTATAACTGAAAAACAAATATATCATGTGTATTATCCTTGTCATGCTAAATAACATGCATTTCTTGTTTAAATAAAAAGACCAAGATTGATTGAGCATGTTCATCATGAGAAAAAACTCTCATTCAAATATATCATTTTTCTGTCACTTTATTGCTAGTATACAATTAACTGAGTTATTAAGTACAGAAATTAAATTAGTGTTTAATCCATGCTAAAGCAAAGCTCTAATACAGTTTTAAGCTTTGTGATTTAGTCCCTTTAAATGAAAGATTTATTCAAGATTAGAACTTATATTTTTATTATTGTTTACAAATGTTAATATTTGGGTCACTAATTTGATAAGAAATGCATTTGTTATTTGTAAATTAACTTTTAAACAAAACGATGCTATAATTGATTACGACAAGAATATACATACATGTTGTATTGTTTTAATTTTGAATTCAACATCGAGCTATGTCTTGGTTTTCTGACGTTGATGATGAGTATGAGGTAATATTATGAATTCTATTTGATCATAAAATTGAAGCTCAAAGATGTATATATTTTTAAATCTGATTTCAGTATTGAAGTTTAAGTTTTTATCAATGTTCATTATCATATAATAGTGGGAAAACAGGCAAGAACTTGTCAGAAGGAAAGCCCAGCTGTAAAAGAATTATTATTAATTAAATACATTTTTTCATGGAATTTCATTGGAACAATTGAGAATTGATACTTTATCATAAATTGGAAAATACAGAATACTGTACATAATTTGACTTAAAAAAACTGTTGCCATTTCATATGAAACAGTGTAGATTCTTTAAGGCTTTGTATAAAGCTTTTGTTATATTCACATCAGCTGAAATGTTATAATGTGGTGATGTTTTAGTGTAGAATTTTATTCATGTACAGTGTGGTCATATTCAAACTGCTACACTAAGTTTCTTCTGAAATTCGAAAAAATGTACTTTATCACATGCATTTACTTGTCTATGAAATAATAAAAAAAGGTGTTTTCATTGCTTAAATGAACGAAAAAGTCTATACTTTATATATAGCTGGATTTGAATAATATAATCAGTTAAATAGTAATCTTTTATTTTATAAAAAAAAAAGATATAGAGAATTGCATTTTCTTTAGAATTATAATAAATAAGGCGTGACGTTACTTCTGAATTTACTTCATGAAATAATATCCTTATCATGATGCTGATGGCTTCTTTTTTAAAAGAATTAAAATGTTCGACCTACATGTTAATTGTAATAAAGCATACAATATATTTGTTTATTAGACTGATTGTTAGCAGAGACAAAACAACTTATTTGATATGCATTTTGCAGATTAATTTTGCTGAGCGACAAGAGCGAGAAAGACACTTTGACCAGATTAGTAACTTAACATCACAGTTGAGTAGTATTACGGAAAAATGTAATAGAATGAGTTTGGAATTGGAGTTAAATCGCTCTGAAAACAACAACCTTAAAAAGGAGTATCATGAAACTAGTGATAAATATGAGTCATTAAAGATTCAGTATGATTCAATACAAGCTGAAAAATGTCACGTAACTAACATGCTTGATGATAAAAAATCTGACATTGAAAGAGTTATACAGGAAAAAGACTATTACATGAACTTATTGGAACAAAGGAATGAAGAACTGGCACAAGTAAAGTCGCAGAAAGAGAGACTTAATATACAAATAGATGAAAAAGAACGTAACGTAGAAATATTGCAGAAACAATCAAATAACTTTACTAATATGATAGAAAGTACATCAAAAACAACTGATGCTTTACGTGATGAGAAGGAGAACTTATTGGTCATGGTGCAAGAGAGGACAAAAGCTTTGGAAGAAATAAAACTATCACGGGACACTATGTCAAAGAAAATGAAAATACGGGAGAAAAGGATTAAAGAATTAGAAGAAGATAAGCAACATAATATGGAAGAATTACAAATACGAAGGGAAGAAACAAATATTGTTCAGCATGAAAAAGACAATTTGTATCGGGAACTTAAAGAAAGTCGATTTGAAGTTGCCACAGTAACTGAGGAAAAAGACAAAATAAAAGATATTTATGAAAAACAGAAAGCTGATCGAGAAAGAGAAATAAGTAGAATGCAAGCAAGGATTAAAGGTTAGAAACAATCTTATAGCATGGAGAATTATTTAAGAAATAACACCTAGTAAGCAATCAAGTAAGAGTTAGTATGAATAAGAAGATGTGGTATTAGTGCCAATGAGACAATTCTCCATCCAAGTCAAAAAGAGTAAAAAGTATACAATTATAGGTCAAAGTACGGCCTTCACCACAGAGCCTTGGCTCACACTGAACAGCAAGCTATAAAGGGCCCCGAAAAGACTAGTGCAAAACAATTCAAACAGGAAAACCAACGGTCTAATCTATATAAAAAACAAGAAACACTTATGAACCACACCAACAAACGATAACCACTGAACAACAGGTTAGGCTTATTTGACAATAAGGGGTCATGATATTACTGTAAGGTATACACACTTTATTTCACTTTTGAAAACACACCATCTATTGTCAAGATGAAGAACAGCAAAAGAAAAGCTGCTGTTCCAAATATTATTTTTTTCCCTAGGATTTTATTTGACATAATAAATTAATATTGCACATGTTCCCCCACAGCCTTTCTTTCCTTTAAATTTTATATTATTATGAATTATTCCACCATGCTAAATTTCAATCAATGGTGACATTTCAGCTCATGTATATGTTTTAAAATTTAGTTGCCATGGAATTTTTTTAATTGTTCATGTAATTATTTAGATTATAACTTGTTGTGTATTTAGCACAATATTTCTTTATATTATTTAATAACAATTCATCATACTATTTTTGTTTTAGCTGCTGAACAAGAGGTCAAGCTAGCCCAGAAAACAATGCGGACCAGAGACTCTGCAGACCACCAAGGTAAGGCATCACATGAAGGCTTGACTAATAATTGTGTTATTGTTATTTCAAACCCAATAGATATTATTAATTATACCCCCACTTTTTGAAGCCGGTGGTGTATAGTGATTGGGGAGTCCTTTCATTTGTCCATCTGTTCATTAGTCCTTCCATCCCACTTTTTTAAATGCTTTTGCTCCTGAACTGCATGACAATGAAAATTTCACGAAATCTTATACACATGGTGTACTTTTGAACCTCCTATTTTATTTCTTTATCTGAATGATGTTCTGGGCTTACTTAAGTATCATATGGACTTTATCATATCTGAACACTGCAGTACAGATTTGTATCCTAAACCTCTAATAGGAATTTAATCAAACTTTCTGAAATTTTCAACATCTAATGCCATTGTGCACCTCCAATTCTGTTACTTTTGATCCTTATTACTTTTTGCAAATCAAAAACATTGCCATTACTTTATCTTGGGGTGCACATTTTGTATCAGCAAAACCTTATTTGCTATAACACAGTAAACAAAGTTCTTGAGTTGGGATCATCATTGTGCTATATATATGAACTTAATTCAAAAACAGTTTGAATTCAATGAAAATGCCTTTGTTTTCACTGCAATGTATAAAAGTTAATTTTTCTTTCGTGTCATTTTATCTGCTAGTTATTTTTCATGTGTTAATTTTGAGGTATGGAGGGTGAAAAGTAAAAAAAAATAGGTTTTTTTTCTCAATAATTTTTGGAAATAATGGAAGATTAAAAATAAATTTGATTACATACTTATAATTATAATGCATGTACTTCAAAATGGATGTTTCAATAAAATACTTGAATTAGTCTATTTTGCATTTTTTTTTTCAATTTCAAATTCCCAGTTGACAATGGCTACTCTTTAAATATTTTAATGCATTACAAAACAATTACCATTGAGCTTAAAAAAAGGGATGCAATCCAATCAAAATTCCATTAAGTTACCTATATGTGAATGATTTTGGTGCATTAAAGATATTAAAAAACATGACGTCATATGAATGAAATGTTTCATACTAAAGAATATTCAGTTTCTTGTATGATTAGAATTTGGAAAATATCTTATTTGATATGATGTTCTTCAGGTAGGTTGTGATGTGTTCTTTTATAACATTGTATGAATACAAAATTGCAATTTCGACATGTCAGTTGTCAATTTGACACATGACAGATGCTAATAAAACTAAGTGGTACATAATAATTGAATTCCAAGATAATCTTGAAAGAAAAACAATAATTTAACAGATTAGGATTTGTTTATTTAATACTACTTTATACAGTCAGCTCTTTGTATTCAGGATAAGAAAATCATTGGAAATAATCAATAAGATCATTTAATTTATGTCCAGTTTCCACTTTTGCCAATGTAACTCCTCCTCCAAGTGATTTAAAAACTCTGATATGGACGTACTTAAGACCATACTTAATCTGAAAAAAATAAACATGTTGGTATTATTGGTACTACATGTAATACAATCACAAATAGGGGAGGGGCAAGTAAGTGATTTGCATGTTGTCTTTCGTTAATGACCAGATAGTGACCTCTAGAAGTTTTGTTTTGTTTATGTTAGGTTTTTTTTTTTTGACATTTATCTCATTTCTCCTTTAATTGACACAAAAACTATACTTAAATTTGTCTATGGTTGAAAACAGTATGACCTCTTTTGGTTTTTTTTTTGTGTCATTTGGCTGCTTATCCACATATTTGTATTCCGACAGAGTTTTTAGATTATGTAGAAACACTGAATCAAAATGCAAATGATGAAACAAAATATATATGTATTATTGAAATTTTTTTGACCTACTGACCCTTGAATGTTTTGGTAAAAAACCTTAGTATTAATTTTTTGCCTAAATTTTGGTGATTCATTTTGGGATTTTGTTTGTTCTTTAGGAATTATCCGTATTCCCTATTTAAAAAAAAAAAATGAAAAAATCAACTACTAAAAAAAGAATCATTTCAGAATTAAGCTTCTACTACTTTTTGTTTTTAAGAAATTGGTAAATTTAATATTCAATGGAAAGTTACGATGCCTCATTGAAACACATAGTTTTCTCCTACCTTAATGAAATAGTTTGTTCCTGCTACAACTTGTTTCCTGTAGGAAATAACCGTGAACTTTTTCATTTTTTCCCCAAGCATGGCCTCTATATCACCTTTTAACTGAAAAAAATAGAATTAGAAATAAAATAAGATAAATATAGACTTATTTGTAATGAAAAGAAATTGTTTACTGCAAAGTGTAATGAACATAATGAAAAGAAATTGCTTGCTACAAACTGTAATGAAAAGAAATTGTTTACCATGAAGTGCAAAGAAATTGTTCAGCACCCAAGATCACTCCTGTTTTTTTGGTGGTTTTCATCTAACTCAGTATTAAATTTTCTATGTTTGTTTGGGTACTTTTGTTTGTATTTTTCTCCTTTTTCAATTTTTGCCATGACATAGTTAGTGTGTTTTTGACTTATGAGTTTGATTTTCCCTTTGGTATCTTTCGTCTCTCTGTTACTATGAAGTGTAATGAAAAGAAATTGTTTACTATGAAGTGTAATGAAAAGAAATTGTTTACTATGAAGTGTAATGAAAAGAAATTGTTTACTATGAAGTGTAATGAAAAGAAATTGTTTACTATGAAGTGTAATGAAAAGAAATTGTTTACTATGAAATGCAACGAATAGAAATTGTTTACTATGAATTGAAGTGCAATAAAAAGAAATTGTTTACTATGAAGTGTAATGAAAAGAAATTGTTTACTATGAAGTGTAATGAAAAGAAATTGTTTACTATGAAATGCAACGAATAGAAATTGTTTACTATGAATTGAAGTGCAATAAAAAGAAATTGTTTACTATGAAGAACAATGAAAATAAATTAGAATTGAGAATGGAAACGCGGAATTGTTTACATTGAAGTGCAATGAAAAGAAATTATTTAGTACAAAGTGTATACAAAAGAAATTATTTACTACAAAGTCTTGACATAAAAACTATGATTTAAGCAATCAAATTAATTTGCTAAAAAACTTATTTATTAATACAATTATCTGCCTTTCTCAACTTTTAGATCTTGCTTTGTTGATAACAATAAACAGTGATGCATAGCAACTCATTAAGTACATTTATGTGATAAAAAATCAGTTTTTAAATACTCTTGAGATGAATAGATAAAAAAATAAAGTATGTTACAAGAATTTTTAATAGAAGAGCTTTACAAATAGATAAATTAATAAAGTGACAATTTTTCCACAAATTCAGAAAACATTTACTTACATCGTCCACTATCCTATTAACTTCTGGAGTTGGCTCTTCCACGCCCATTAAACCACCAGGTCTTTGAGCCACAACAGCAACTGCAAAAACAGATGCACACAACAGGATCACAAACTTTATCATAATTATTGGTATTAAGTGCTAGAGATGTGGCTTTGGTCACTTATATACGGACACGGCTTTGGTAACATTTGTTATCACTATATATCTTAAAGGCAAAGTATTATATATTTGAATAATTTATGAAACATCTTGTGTTGTTTGTTTTATAGTCCATGTTAAACATAAATTAAAAAGCTTGGACAGTTTTAATAACAGACACTTTAGCCTCCAACAAAATTGTCCATTTGCAATATGTTACAACCAATTTATATGTAAATATTATTTTGATTGCATGTCAATAATGATTATGCCTATCTGTTATATTTCTTTGTCTGTAAAAGCTTATAAAATATCTATTATTACATGCATATGTAAAACATACAATTTCTAATCCAAGAGCCTTAAATAGGTTACTATATGATATGATTTTTGCTCAGTGTTGAAGGCCTTTTGGGTACCTTAAGTTGTCCACATCCTTATCCTTTGGTTTGGTGGACAGTTGTATCATTGGCAATTGTACCATATCTCAATAGATTTGAACATTCAATATGCATTTTGATGTTTAATCAACAAGTGAAAAAATACAATCAACTTTAAATGGTGAAATCATTTGTATCAGTTTTTTTAAGATTTTGTTATTTGCTTTAGAATTTAAGAAAAAAACTTTTCCTATCTTTTTGCTGGCAAAAATATAAAAACCTTATCCAAACTATTCATAAGGAAGGGAAAGAAATTACCCTAATAAGTCTTTTTATATCATTTGGCTAAGGAACTCTTCGTGGATGATCTTTGCAACTCTTTGGGCCCTTTCAGTTAAAGCTTCCAATGTAATGATATACTGTAAATTCAAAAATAATTATTGCGATTGTTAAACAGTGGACAAATGTACAAGATTAACTGTTGCGATGTCAGGAAATGCTGCATACTGATACACATAATGCTATCAAAATTTAAACTGCAAGTTTTAATTTTTGGGAAGCTTTCCTGTTGTATTTTTTCGTAATGATAAAAACATCTAAAAAATTTCCGATTTACAGTATGTTATATATAGCATTTGAAACTTTTGGATTTAAATATAATTAATTGACATAAGTCAGAAAATTCCTTCATTGATACTTATTCAAAGTATTTGATTTAGATTTATTTTTTAATTTATACTAAAACGATGACACGGAGCGATTGATTGTGATGTCATCAAGGTGACATCATTGAAGCAATTTTTTTTTCTTCAGATTTTTATTGAAAATAGGCTAATATAAGAATATTGTGGCTAAATTATCATAGAGCACAAGTGTCAAAAAAATATGGTTTCCGCCAGTGAATAGATAAGCCAAAATTTCCTTACTATTAAAATATGTTTTGGGCAACAGTTGTGTTTTATATTCCTAAATCTTGTACAAATCAAACAATAAAAATTTTGCATAATTTTGGCATTTTACTGTCATTAAATGGATGTATAACCAATGAAAAGAATTGTAAAATTTTTATATTCTATATTTCAGCGGTAAAGGTTGCAGATAAAATGCAGAAAGAAGTAACACTGAAAAGAAGTGAAATTGATTCATTGAAAACAAAGGTTCGGTGGTTAGAAGACAAATTAGACTCTCTAACAAGGGTATGTAACCATTGTAACAGTACATTAACACCACTGTTTATTGTAAAAAAAGTGCTGCATTTGTATGCTCAATTTAGATAAAATAAGACTGTTAGAATATCTACTTTTGTGATTCAGTCTTCATAGCTTTCAGAACTTGGAAATTGGAGCACTTTCTTAAAGAACTCAAAATCTTAGATATTGTTTTTTTTCCCCCCGACTCGTTTACCCAATAAAGTTCCATTTTCTTTCCCTAAGTACCACATCAGTGAATTTGTACAATTTTAAACTTTGTTTTATTTTCTTTACTTCGCATACTTCCATCAGTGTTTTACATCTACACGGTAGGCAATAATTCAGTAATGTACCAAAAATTGTGACATTGATTCTTTAAAAAAAAATAGATCACCTTTATCCATTTTTTGAAATGCTTTACTCTGTAGCTCCATTAAATATATTTAAAACCAAGAGATAGATTTTGTGGATTATGCCTAGAAGTTTGGGATTAGGTCTTCTGATTCAGTTATATACTATTGCAAAAAATTGATTGTTAAATACTTGAAGCATGTGACATTGATAATTTTATGTTTACTGAAATAGCTACATGCATGAAAAATCTTATTTATTTCTTGCATATGCATTGATCATGTTGTTCATTAGTTGTTTATTTACCTTGGAGCAAAAGTAAGTGAAAAAATATCGAAACAGTTCAAATATCTAAATTTTTAACATAGAAATTATATATTTATTTTTGCATTTGGTTGTTGTCAATTTTACATGAAAATTTTCATTGAAAGCTAAATTCATTTATTCATATTTGAAATTTGTTTACTATTTTTATGGTTTGGAGCTAGCTTTCAGGACCAGAGTTATAATTAATTAGATATTTATTTGTGATTTTCAAGGTTTGTTGTATGTAACATCCTGTCAAATTAACATATAATTTCAAAGTCAGTTTATTTTTGTTATAACTCATAATATTAATTTGTATGATAAATTTTTTAACAATCTAATAATTTGAAAATTTTATCAAAATGCAACAATGTAAAGCATTCCATTTTTGAAATATTTCAACAAAAATTGTTCAGATTATTGTTGCCAAGATATAAGACTTTATGATGACCAACCCTATCATAAGTCACACAAAGATTTGAAGGAAAAACATTTTTTTTAATCAACTGACCAACAATGCATTCCATTCATAATAAGCAATAATGCAATTCCTTTGGAAGCTGCAACAAAAAAAGACAAAGCCCAGTAACAGTTAAATGAAGTAAATTGGTAAGACTGGCAATTTTGATAAAACAAACAGAATAAGGCAGTAGAACTTTACAAAAATAGTTCACTTACTTCTTTCAACATAAGTTATTGCTACATGTACTTTTAAAATTAGTTTTCAATTTTGAAAATAAATTTAACAATCCAATTCATATGCCAGCAATTTCACTGGTGTCTTTAGTTAAAACAAGAGGGAAATGCATTAACAAACTTTCTGCTATGCATATCATTTTCAATTATTGATATATTGTAGGTGATGTATGTTTTGATATTGTATGAAATTTCCCTTTTGTATTGATTTATATACCCTAGCCTGGGATCCTGGCTCACTGCTCGACAGTAGAGCCAGGCGGAATACAACGACATGGTTTCGTCAATTGGATGTTAGAATGATGCATCATGGGATAGCATCATTTCTTGACACATGGCGGGAAATATTTATATCATCACAAAATTATTGAAAATTATTTTTCATTTCATATTAAATGCAAATTTCGAAAAATTTAGCATACATAATTCAAATGTTATTGATTAACATCGTGAATCAACTGTTAATTAACGATCCGATCAATTATATTCCTTGTTTATAGAACATGCACATGCGCAGTAATTCAGTCCTGTTCAGCGCTGATAGTTGGTCCTGTATTAAGCCTGGCCCTATCGACGAAGTATTAGATTGGGTCAGGATGCCAGGCTATATATACCCTTACTGCTCCCTTTGATTAGGAATAAAGAATTGTTTATTTTAATCACTTTTGACCTAAAATTTCCTCAAGATTTTTCCTATGTACCATTGATTCTCTTGAATTGAGTCACAACTATTCAATGAGCAAGATAACCATTACAGGATTTTTTGAAGTTCTGGAATAAAAAACCAAACTTATTTGTTATCTGATTTATTTAGTAGTAAAATAGTTTTCCATACGATTTTTGACTGATTTTCTTATACTGTGTTACAGGATCGCCATAGTTTAGAAAATGACAAAGATCGACTGAAATCCACATTGAATAAGACACTTACACACAATCAGCAATTATCAGGTGACCTGGAGACATCACAGGAGAAGGTGATGGAGATGAAGCAGCAAGTCAGTAATCTGGAGATGTTACTGGAAAAGGTGAGTTATCTACCTTTGTTTGTGAGTTATCTACCTTTGTATGTCATTGTAGCATTAATAAATACAAGGGGCAGGTTTTCATTAGGAAAAATTGCATATTTACGAGGCTTTTTATGCACATTGTATATAGATTTATTTCACAAATTTTAGATGATTGTTTCTCATGAAGTACAAATGCTAAATATATATCTTTTTATATTCAGTTGCAGTTAAACGGGTTCTAAATGCATACAAAATTTAATAAAAACTACCCTCTAATCGTGTATAACTTACCTTACCATAAATATTTATAAGTTCTTCTAAAAAGAGTCATCACTATTGGAAATTTTATAATGCATAGATTGTAAAGAGGATTTTAATGCTTCACCTTGTACCTTTATTTTTCTTTTCTTTTTTTTGTAAATTTTAAAAAAGCCCTTGATAAAAAACAGTCAATTCTTCCAAGTATATCAATTCTATTCAGAGATGACCATAACTTCACTACTACATTTCAAATCTTGCAAGCTCATAGCAATAGTTTGTCTAAAATAGCTGTACAGATGTTCTTTTGTTTGCCATTTGAAGTTTCAAATTTCCATTTGTTTTTATAGTGTGGCTTCTCACCCGTATCATCTGTTTGTATAGAATGATTTGTTTATGTACAATGGCTTGGATGATAAAAACATAGATTTTATAGCATATATTACTGTTTCATTCATCAAATTCATATAGTTTGTGTCATTGACTTTTCAGAACAAGATAGTGAGTGAAATGCATGTTTTGCAAAGATTTGCATGAGAAAATGTCTGTTTTTAGAGCCAGTAAAAATTTTTTTTAAATCTTCATATATCAGTTTTATAGTTATTAACTTACTTTCTTAATAAATTTAAATGGACATGTACTTATGAGAATAACACTTTAAAAATTTGGTTCATCTAAAGAACTTTTCTGGATATACCTTTATCAGAAGCAATCAAACCTAAACAATTGAAAGCCAGGGATTAAAAATATATTTAGCAATGTTACCAGCTATGTGACTAAAAGGGACCTTAAAAGAATAACTCCCTTAAACAGACACCAATCTAAATTCAAGATAATTAAAATATTTTAAATTTTCTTTAGCAGACCAATTGGTTTTTCGACTTCTGAACCCTATAATTTTTTTTTAAATGTTTTTAAGCTATGGTTTGGACATGCAGTGAATGAGTTGATTTTGTATGCAGTTGTTTTGTTTATATTAAACCTGAAAGGATTTTTTAGATTTGCTTGTCAGTGACACAATATGCTGATTAAGGTGAAAATGAAAACATACAATTCTATAGAAATACTTAGACTTTATGTTTGTTATGCCGAAATATGATGATTTTTTAAGTGTTATCTTAATGCTGTTTAGAGATAACGGTTTGCATTATAATTCTTAAGATAAAGAGATGTAGAGTATGTATGTCAATGAGAAAGGAAACCAACAACAAAATGTCTTATTTTTATTTTGGTTATTTGAGGAGTTATATGTTGATGGCAGATCTTTGATGTGTTTGGGGATTTTTTTCACAATTTGTTTAGACTCTGGTCAATAAAGAGCTGGACATATTGTATAGAATCTTGCATTTTCTTGAAGATTGTATGTTGATCTCTTGTAGTCTTTTGATTTGTTTGCTGGATGGCTGTCTCATAGACATATATCAAATATCTTATTTTATTCATGCAGGAAAGTCATCTAAATGTCATCATATAGTCTTTAACAAGAGACTAGTGTTGACACAACATGTTCAACCTCTAAATGATCTTGACTCTTAGTCAATTTATTAGTTCTGAATGAAGATAACCAAGGCAAAAGATCTGCCATCAGCACAAACAATTTTTAAATGACAAAAACATTGAGCTATATAAATCGAAACAACCACTGACGAGGTTCTGACATTAATAAGGCACATCTCAAAGTACACATGCTGTTATTCACTTAGGTTGTTAGATTGGAAAAAATATCTATGGTATTATTGACATATTGTATTGAATGAAAGTTATAAAACATGTACTGTAAATTCAGATATTATTGTGTGCAACTAATTATTGCAATTTCAGGTAATGCTGCATACAAATTATGCTATCTAAATTTATAAAATGCCAGTTTTTGTCTCGCCTTGACGGAGTCAAAAAGCGAGACATAGGTATCCTGTTTCCCTTAGTCATGGTCTATAGACTTTGAAAATTTTGCTAAGTTAACATGTATTAGTTTGTGATTAGGTCAGTTCAAGGGGAACCATTAGTGGTGGGCCAATGTTAATTGGTGTTCAGTTGTATAAGCATTGGCACATCTCATTTCCATGGAGAATATTTGGCCCCGCCCCCTCAGTCATGGTCTATTGACTTTGAAACTTTTGCCTAGTTTACATGTATTAGTTTGTGATTAGATCAGTTTAAGATGAACTGCTAATGTTAAGTCAATGATATTTGGTATGCAAATTTATTGGCATTTGCAAGTATCATTTCCATGGAGATTATATAGTCCCACCCCTGATCATGGTTCATTGACTTTGAAACTTTTACATAGTTTACAAGTTAATGTTTGTGTTTAGGTTTGTTTAAAGGGAACGACTTATGATAAGTCAATAGTATTTGGTATGCAGTTGTATTAGCATTGGCACATCTCATTCCATGGAGATTGTTTAGCCATGTACCTTCAGTCATGGTTCATTGACTTTGAGTATTTGCATAAGTTACATGTTAAAGTATTGCTATTTTAATTCAACATTTGCATTATCAAAATTACAAAAAGGCGAGACATATCTCTGTGATAACAGTTTATTAGTTTTGCAAAACATTTCATGTAGCAATTTTTGCAATAAAAAACATGGCAATGATTTTGAAATTAACAGTAATTGAAATCAAATTAATTCATAAAATTTAAGCAGGACATTTTTTAGAAGAGCTTACTAAGTTTTATCATATTTCATGTTTCATCATTCATTTCTTAACTCGTACTGTGTATCTTGCAGTCTCATATTTTCATATTTCAAACATTCATATTACAGTCAAAACGAAATGCAGGGGACAAAGTAAACAAAAAATGTCCCACAAAACCCAAGAAGGTTTGTTTAATTTGGCCCATGGTGTCACCTTGTTGTCTACAGTCACTGTGTGTTTCTCCCTCAAATATCTAACTTGTACTTCATAATTTAAGCATATATATATATACACCAAGTTGAAAATTATCTTGAATATGTATACTAAGTTGAAATGTATTATCAATTATATACAGTCCATATAAATTTATGTTTTTCATCAAGTCTCAAATCAAATATAATTTACCAGCTGGCAGAGAAAATATTTGTTCTACAACTAATTTACAAGACTTGCTAGTAAAGATTAGAAAAAGGAGTGTTCATTCCAACATGTTATTTATTATGTAAACTGTGTTATAAGACCTTTGATTTTAGGTCCTTCTGTACTACATTTCATATAGATTGAACCTGTATTAAAAGACCTCTTATCTTACAAGACCACTTTTTTGATCTCCTTTAAGGGGTCTCTTAAAACAGGTTTCACTGTACCTGTAATGAGAAAAATAACCATTTCAATTCAAGCTTTTTCTCTTGTAGTGTAAAAAATTTAAACTGTCTATTATTTTCGTTGAAATATACTTGCAAATTTCACGACAAATTAAAAGAAATAGTGTGCTCTTTCCTTTGGCTAAGACCTAGAAGTCCACCTTTTTTTCAATTCTTACTGTGGCTAGGTGGCAAAAGCAAAATCTACCTGAGATGTAGTCAGCTGTCATAAAATATCAAGTGTTATAAATGCCCACCCCATCCCCTCACTACAGTGATTTTCATGGATAGGTTTTCAGTAATAAATTCAAGGTAAATTTCAACTTGGTGCACAGATGGTTTCTTGCCTAAATGAAAGAAAATTTCTGCAGTTTACTTTTTCATAGCCTAGTTTTACAAAAGGAATACTCACCTTTCAGTAGGCAAATATTTGTTGCTTTCTCACTGTGTCATTGTTGCAATTTAAAATCAGTTGAAGTTCCATTTTGATGCACAGTTGGTGATTTGTACAACTGCACTTAACACAATCACAGTATAAATAAGAAGATGTGGTATGAGTGCCAATGAGACAACTCTCCATCCAAGTCACTATGTACAAAAAGTTAACAATTATAGGTCAAAGTACAGCCTTCAACACGGAGCCTTGGCTCTCACCGAACAGCAAGCTATAAAGGGTCTCAAAATAACTAGTGTAAAACTGTACAAACAGGAAAACCAATGGTCTAATCTATATAAAAAATAGAGAAACGAGAAACACCTATGAACCACACCAACAAACGACAACCACTGAACAACAGGCTGGTGCCACAGGTTTGCTTTTGCCAAAACATTTGATTTTTGTCACACGTGTGGCAGAAGTAAGACATAGCAATCTTAGATTATGACAGGGGTGTAGGCAGTGTTAACATTTAAGTTCAGTTTGTGGTTAAAGTTATTTTTTAGCCATCAATGACTTTGTCAGGCCTTTATGGAAATTTCTTGAAATGTAGACTGAAGCTTGCTTATCTTCAAAATTGAGAAATGAGGGTCGTAATGGGGGTACCTTCATGACGTATAACAGTAAAAAATCTTGCCAAATGACGTTAACGGTAATTTTTTGTGCATGACGATAAAATGTACACTTTCTTGAAGACGGTTAAAAAAATCTACTGTTTTTGACGAATCACGTTAAATTTTTTCCAAAAATAACGGTAACGATAATTATTTGAGACCTCTGACGAATCACATTAAGGATATTTTGACGAATCACGGTAAAATTTAACCCAATTTGACGCTAACGGTAGCTGGAAACGACTGTTTGACGCCTGACGGTAAAAGGCATTACTACCCTCAGAAATAGCATCTAAAGAATTTTTTTTTTATTTCTGTAGTTTACTGATAAATGGCCTCACTTTTTACATTCAACATTACACTTCTGCACTAACAGCAGCAGTCGCAGGCGAAACACTTGGTTCTGTGGAACCCTTTACAAATTTTTATATATTTAATCAGTGGAGGGGAAATAGAACTAAAAAATGCAGTTATGATAATTTGTATAGCAATTACTCAACACAAACATTTGCAATTGTACCAAGTATCAGAGATTTGTGACAAGGAACCAGTCTTAAATTGATAATGTGTGAATTATTCTTTCTATGTAATGTTAAGTACCGGTATTATTGTTTGTCAGATGCAATATGCATTTATCCTGAATTTTAAGGTTCAATGAACCTACTTAATCTAATTCCAGAGGAAATATTTAGTCATACAAACAAAAAATGTGTATTCAGTCTGTTTCATTACAGTATGAAACAAAACTGGGTTTAGCTGTTGAATGAATTATTAGATAAACTGGAACATCATATTGATTGTGCAGAGCATTAGTGCAGCAAAAATGTGCATTTTATCCCCTCAAAATAAATGACATCATCCAGTCCAAGTCCTTGTTACAAACAAATTGAGTTAGAATGATCTATGTAGAATAATACTGATTGATGGATAGAATGTTGTAATTATATATAATATATACATTGTCAGTAATTATATATAATATATACATTGTCATATAATATATACATTGTCATATAATATATACATTGTCATTATGTAGCATGTTGTACAAATATAATAAAGGATAGAGAAACATTCTTAGTAAGCTAATCTGTCATCTGCTATTTTCTACATAGAAAGAAGACAAAAGTCACCTTTATAACTAAAGCAGTCAAGAAATTATTCTTAGCTTTAATGGAATGCACCAACATTTTATTTTTTTTATTTTAAAAGGATCGTACATATATCATAAGCATTATCATTACTGTTTCTATACTTATTTCTATTTGTAATCATTTTATGTAACATGCCGTTGATTGGTTTTATAAAGTATTCATATTTATATACATACTTACTAAATACATTAAGCATAGTGATTTTCATATTTGAACAGTAACACACAAACCTTACTCATTTAATATGTAAAGATATGGATCCCTTTTTTATCAGATGTTTTAAATTATTAGAACATACTGTTTTACAGCATCAAACACCCTTAGATTTAAAGAATAACATGAAACTCTCTTTATATAGGCTGCTACAAGAAATGCTACAACACAGGCTGAGTTAGAACAGTATGAACAAGAGTTGGCTAGACTTAGATTAAAACATCAACTTGATCTACAGGTGAATTTGTGTTTTTTTGAAACTTTCAAACTTATATAAGGAATATATAAGGATGACCGGTATTTAAGATAAAATGGATAAAAATTTATTCCACACTACCTGCTTATATAAAATAAAAAATGTCTTAACATTTTTCATTGCAATTTTTACATTGAATTGTTGAGTTATTCTTCTTTCTTTGATTATACAATAAAAAGTTTACAGGAAATCACCAAAAATATTGGCCAATAGTACAGACAACAACCACCAACATACGACTCCTCTGTAAAAATAGTTGTACACACAGAGACAAAACAATGAAGATCACATGGTCATGTCTTTGTACACATGCAGGCACATTTAAGATGAATAACCTCACGTTCTATATAATTGATATTGCTCGGAACAAAATATGTAAGAAACCAGGTGACAATCAGAAATTATCCGGGAAGGACAGACCACAGAATGACAAAAAAAAAATATATTAAAAGTCAAATAATTCACAAAACACTACACAGAAAACTGAAGATTGAACACCATGAACCCTACCAAAATACTGGTGAGCCCAGGTTTTCAAGAAGGTAATCCAGTTCCTACTCTGCTAGAGGCGACTATCATGACTAGAAGTTGAACATTTCTGTTGTTATATGTGTCAATGATGTTCTGTAATGGTCAACCAAAACAATTAAGGTATGATATTTTTGTCGAAACATTTCAGCAATGGAAACTCTTCATTTTAAGTCTAAACATCAAATATGTTGTTTTATTCCTTATAATTCTAGCTGGATGGAAGTTCTTTAGTATAAGATTATTCAATATAAATATATAAAGGGTGGTTCCAGAATATCAAAGGTTGTGTAACCTAGACAACCAATTTTGAACCTGTGATTATGGATTTTGAACCCATAAGAAACAATTCTAAACCTCAAATGGACAGTTTTGAGCCCCCGATGAAAACAACCATCTTCCTGTTTCCAGGGTTCTCGTTAAGACGCGCATACGCGTACTGGACGCATGAAAATCGAGCAGGACGCATCATTTTTGAAACCCGTGAGTCCCTGGGACGCGTCCTCTTTGTATCCCCTGAGTCCCAAACACACCTTTTTGCCTAGAAGATTCATGATCGTCGACATTGTTTTGACAAGATACTAAACCGGAAGTCGATGTTGAACATTTGATGCGTAGATCAATATTTTTGTTGACTGATAACTATTTTTTAAAATTAAACGTATTTCATCCTCAAAAATAATAATTCTGTTCAAACTTATTAATGAATATGTAATAGTTACTGATTTTTTAAAAACTTTACGAGTATTTGAAAAGCGTGAATATTTCCACATGTTGAACATCACGTACATATCGATTGAAACAAAAAAGTAAATTTTGTTTGAAAATTTGAAATGAAATGATATAATATTTCGTAACTGTTGCTACTATGCATAAAATAGATCGTAGGACAGTGTAGATAAAAAAAATTACGGTTAAAAATCATTTTACTGGTCTTCAAATGATTTAACATTTTCTCGTATTGGGCATGTTGAACATCGTGATCGTAAACAAAGGTGAAAAATGTTCTGAAATTGAAACAGATCGGATTAAAAAATGATTAAAGCCAAACTCATTATTATGAACAGTGTTCACTTTAGATTTGCTTGTTTTTATTAAAGACTATAATAATTATAATGATGCAAACATCAAAGTGATTATAAACTCAATTATTAAATATAATTAAAATTAATTAATAATAAATAACTGGGTACTAGCTTGTCTAACAAAATGACATCAGTATCACAATGAGACAGTCAAAGTTCAAGTCCTTCTTCAAAAGGAAACCTGATGACATTGAATCATCAGTTCCAAGTAAAAGACCAAGAGTCAATGACCCACTACACCAAGAATTGATAGACATAGAAAGAAGTCTGTTATATATGTTGTAATAAACAATAGATTTAAGAAGATGTGGTATGAGACATCTCCATCCAAGTCACAATTTGTAAAAGTAATGACTATTAAGAAATCCCAATAAATTTTATTGATATAATAAAAACTACCAATCCAACACGCATCGTTTTAGTGTTATTTCATCATATTCCATTAAATTAAGACACAAAAAATTACATGCATCCTGGACTCATCAAAATCTATTGGGACTCACCATTTCTAAAAGTGATGAGTCCCAGGACTCACCATGAAAAATTCCTTGTGAGAACCCTGTGTTTCTCAGATTGATACATGAATAAATGTGTTATTGTAACATAGGTAACTTTATCAGTATTCCAGCAGTCATGATCTAACTCTGAAAGTTATTGAATTTACAGGAGGTAATACAGAAAAACAAAGACAAGTATCCCAGTATTGTGTACCCAGTTTCTCCACATTATCCTCAGGATGAGTTCAGTCAATCACAAAGTAGTTCTAGAACTCAGGAACAAATGACAAGAAGTTCTGATCCTCTGTCAACTGGAAGATCATCAGATTACGATCGTCAGGAAAAACCTACTAGAGTAAGATAAAATAATATTTTAAAATCCAATTTCAAAATTTATTCTGAGACTAATTCTGGGGAAAAAACACACTTTCAACATTTTATAAAACAACTAGCAAACACTGTTTTGATTGAATAGGGGCTCTTTTGTGACCTATTGTAAAACTAAATTAGAATGTAACTTTTTTTTAACTCCTTGAACTTAATATTTTTTACTTTATCTAACATATTGTCATATATGATTCCAAAAACTATATGTAAAATGGTCTTTTTAGGTCAAGTATGTTAATTAGGGCCCTGCCGAATGGCAGCCGCCCTATAGTGATCAGTCTGTCCGTCTGTCCGTCCGTCCGTCCGTCCGTCCGTAACAAATCGTGTCCGCTCTATATCTAGAGAACCGTTATGATTTCAAAGTTTATACTTGACATGTATATTAACCAACACCAGAGGGTGTGTCATAATGTATGTTCAACTTCCTAGGTCAAAGGTCAAGGACAAAAACTTTGGTTTTAGTTGACAACCCCATGTCCTATGGTAAAGATCGTGTCTGCTCTATATCTTGAGAACCGTTATGATTTCAAAGTTTATACTTGATATGTATATTAACCAAACACCAGAGGGTGTGTCATAATGTATGTACACCTTTCTAGGTCAAAGGTCAAGGTCAAAAACTTTAGTTTTAGTTGACAACCCCATGTCCTATGGTAAAGATCGTGTCCGCTCTATATCTTGAGAACCGTTATGATTTCAAAGTTTATACTTGATATATATATATATATATAAACCAACACCAGAGGGTGTGTCATAATTTATGTACAACTTCCTAGGTCAAAGGTCAAGGTCAAAAACTTTGGTTTCATTTGACAACCCCATGTCCAATGATAAAGATACAAATTTTTTACCACACATTATTCACAGCGGGGCCCACAGAGATGGCTCCCATCTCAATGATATCTAGTTTCTACATGTTCTTCAACATGATAAATGAAATTTTGCACTTAAGTGTAATAATTATATTATTACATAATTTTGAAAGACTTCAAATTTGGTAGCTAAATAATGTTTTTTATCATACATCCTTCTTTCTTACATTATCCTGATTTTTCCTGCAGCAGTCAAAACTATTTGCCTTTCTCCTGGTTCACTTACTTTACTCACCCCTTGAAACAATTGTCACATTAATCAGTTGAGTACATGTATAATAATAAGTGGTGTTTGAAAGTGGTTACATTTCATGTCATTATTCTCTGTTATTGTCAATCTCAAAGGAGAAGATTTATTTCCTCTTGAATATATGAGCCCCATAAGCAATACCAAAGTATATTTAGCTGCCTCAATATTTGTGCATTGATCTTACTTTCAACTGTATGTAACCAGTCATTATAACCAAATGGTTTCCAGATGACAGCTTCATTTTTTTCATCTACTTCATTTTGATAACTTATCTATATTGTATAGATGGATAAGTTCAGTATTAAATATATTGACTGGTACAATTTTGAAATCATTTTTGTTGGAAAGGGAAATCCCAAAGCAAAACTTTGATAATATTTTTTTCATTTTTCTGTATTTTGTGGATAAAGGGACTTTTTTTGATAGTCAACATTACACTTCATCACTGACAGCAGCAATTGCAGGCAAGACATAGGGTTTCATGGAATCCTTTATGAATTCTGTCTTTTTGCTGCAATTTTTAAACATGAGGCCAGAGTTAACGTTAAAAAAATGTGGTTTATATTTTACAGGATACAGATGATTACAGGGCATTTGGGAATGAACTGAAGTCTTTGCTGACTGAAATGAGAGAACTAGTAGCTGAAAAGAAGCAGAGTGCAAATTATGCACAGAAGGCATCATTACATAGATGTTCTAAACCTCCTGTACAAACTAATGTCAACTATAATCATAAACATGACAGGTAAACTGATACAATCTTATATCAATCATAAACATGTCAGGTAACGGTTACAATCTATATTATCAACTATAATCATAAACATGACAGGTAAACGGGTACAATCTAATATCAACTATAATCATAAACATGACAGGTAAACGGGTACAATCTATATTATCAACTATAATCATAAACATGACAGGTAAACGGGTACAATCTAATATCAACTATAATCATAAACATGACAGGTAAACTAGTACAATCTAATATCAACTATAATCATAAACATGACAGGTAAACGGGTACAATCTATATTATCAACTATAATCATAAACATGACAGGTAAACGGGTACAATCTAATATCAACTATAATCATAAACATGACAGGTAAACTAGTACAATCTAATATCAACTATAATCATAAACATGACAGGTAAACGGGTACAATCTATATTATCAACTATAATCATAAACATGACAGGTAAACGGGTACAATCTAATATCAACTATAATCATAAACATGACAGGTAAACGGGTACAATCTAATATCAACTATAATCATAAACATGACAGGTAAATGGGTACAATCTATATTATCAACTATAATCATAAACATGACAGGTAAATGGGTACAATCTATATTATCAACTCCAATCATAAACATGACAGGTAAACGGGTACAATCTAATATCAACTATAATCATAAACATGACAGGTAAATGGGTACAATCTATATTATCAACTATAATCATAAACATGACAGGTAAATGGGTACAATCTATATTATCAACTATAATCATAAACATGACAGGTAAACTGATACATATAGATTCTTACATTGGTACCAGTGGATTATCGGATTCATCCAATCAAGATAGTTAAATTATGAAATTTTAGCATTTGATTATTTAATCATTGTTATTGGATAAATCTGATAATCCACGAGCAACTATGTAAGAACCTGTTTCTCTAATAATCATCAAATAAATTTTCATTTTTTATAAACAAAAATCCCCTTCGAGTGCCTCCACATTCCTGATTTCTACGTCATACACTGTGATGTGCAAAAACTTCATTTATGCATCTCTGGATCAAATGGAGGCAAACATTAATAAAATAACCACTTTTAATCAAGAACATTGCATTTAAAGAAATATATATTCATATGTAATAGTAAACAACTTGAAGTTGAACAACAATTTCTAAAGGTCAAATTATTTCCACATAGTAAAAGTTTTTATGAAGTTGTCAATTTCTCTCGCACCTGTTAGCAAATTTCGATTCATCCAGAGAGCTGATAAAGGTTATGACCTTTTAACTAAGCCAATCTTATACTGAGATCATTGGCAACCACACGTTGTTTAAATATTTTTAAACAATGGGTCCAGAAAGGGTTAAATTTAAAAAAATTTGAGAAAATCTTACATCAACTTTAAATATGAATTGACAGGAAATGAACTAATGTCTAGATGTTCTTAACCTAAATCCCCCAGAAATACATGATATTTCCATATGCATATAGGAAGGTAGTGGTGCAAGGATTGTCTTTGTACATTTGGTTTGCCAATTTTGTTTTAATGTGCCTCTATGTTTGAAGGTTGTGTTTTATTTAGTAGTCATTTAATTCTTTCAGAATTTATTTTAGTTCATTGTGAAAATCAATTTTTTTTTAAACATTTTTTTGCCCTGAGCTTTCCTATTTGACCATTCAATAAGGATTTACAAAATACCCCTCTACACTTTCATCAAATTATAATTTTATACTTGTATATGAAAATGATGAGAAGTGGTAAAATTGCCAATTAAACAACTATCCACCAAAAGACCAATTGACAAGGATGTGAACGTTTTTCCTTGATTCCTTTCTAGATGATCTAGAAGTGTATAATGTTTCCTAAAACAATGACATGCATTTCTTTTTAAAGCTTGTCTTCTGACACTGAATACCATTCAGATGCTGAAGTAGACCGAACTTGTAATAGATCAAGGTCAAGGACACATGATTATTCAGCATTTACATACAAAGGTTAGTCATGAATTATTATCTTAGTAAGAAGTTTTCATTCCTTACAGTTTAGAATGTTCTTACTATAAAAGAAATCATAAACTATAGTTACCTACAGGATCTACTTTTAGTGTAAACATACTATGAAACGTGTTAACAGCTGCATGAACCGGTTAATAGTATAAACTGAACTCTTGTACTGGGTAATACAGTAGAAATTCCTGTCATTTCAACCTGTTTAATCCAAACACCTTTCTGATTAAAAAAAAATTCAGTCAGACAGGTTTCACTATATTTTATTTTAAGAAACATGAGAAAAAAGGTCAGACCCAAGTTATTTGCACTTTGGTTGTCTTATTGTTAACAATGTAAGAATATGGAATATGTCCTTGTTTAAAATGTAAGAATATGTAATATATCGCCTTGTTTACTATGTATGAATACAAAATATCGCCTTGTTTACAATGTAAAAATATGGAATATCACCTTGTTTATTATGTAAGAATATGGAATGTCACCTTGTTTACCATGTAAGAATGTGGAATATCACCTTGTTTACCATGTAAGAATGTGGAATATAACATGGTTTACCATGTAAGAATGTGGAATATAACCTGGTTTACCATGTTAGAATGTGGAATATAACATGGTTTTCCATGTAAGAATGTGGAATATCACCTTGTTTACTATGTAAGAATGTGGAATATAACATGGTTTTCCATGTAAGAATGTGGAATATAACATGGTTTTCCATGTAAGAATGTGGAATATCACCTTGTTTTGTGGAATATCACCTTGTTTACTATGTAAGAATGTGGAATATAACATGGTTTTCCATGTAAGAATGTGGAATATAACATGGTTTTCCATGTAAGAATGTGGAATATCACCTTGTTTACTATGTAAGAATGTGGAATATAACATGGTTTTCCATGTAAGAATGTGAAATATAACATGGTTTTCCATGTAAGAATGTGGAATATCACCTTGTTTACTATGAACAAATGTGTAATATAACCTGGTTTAAAAATCCTGACAGCATTAAACATCAAGTGAAAAGGGACACTTTGGAATCTTAAGCTTTACTGAGATAACACATGCAAATGTCAATGAACATGTATCTTTAAAATTTATCATAAACAAAAGATTTTTTTTTGGTCATATTGTAAGTTTAGAAACGTTCACCATGTTTTTATTATTGCGAAAAATTGTGATTGGATAGACTTTGCAAAAAAATAAAAACATTTAGTTATTAATTTTGATAGCATTTTTGCAGCATTTCCTGAAATCCTAATAATTAGTCTCACATGCAAAAATATCTGAATTTACAGTATTGTAATTGTTCCAGATATACAAGACAACATTTCAGTTAACTTATATACTGACTTCAAATTTTAAGAATCAACAACTTCTGTTATTGGATATTTACATTTCACTAGATAACAGATCAAAGTCCACCTCACCGAGGAATCGACACAGACGTAGTAACAGTGCAGAGTTGTCTCTCTTGTTGAAAGGCCAAAACATCTACAATCCACAAGATTCTCATAGAATTCCTAACTTATCTAATAGATCTGTCAAAATCAACAGTTATACCTCAGGTAAGGGGAGATAATTGTGATAATTCACAGACCTCAAATTGAAAGACTGAATTTTGTCTATTAAAAATTGCTGCCACAGTTTATTATCATCCAATTTTTGTGATGTAAATTTCAGCTACAGTATGTTATCATTGAGATTATCTAACAATCAAACTCCACTCCTTTATAAAATGATAACAATGATTTTTACTTGCATTACCTTGTAGGAGAAAATTTCTTTAATATGCTAGATTTCCAGATTTATAGAAAGTTTTTGTACTGTTGCTGTAGGGGATCCATTAAGGGTAGATTTCAATTTTGATAGTAGCATTAGGGGACAGTAAGGGACAATTTAATGTTAAGTTTAAGGTTTTATAGGGTAATGATTAAATAACAGTTATCATTACTGTTAAGGATAGTGGAAAGAAATATTTATATTATGATACTCTTGTAACTGACCAAGGTGCCCTAACAAAGTAGAAGGCACATTTTCCTCTCAATTAGAGTAATTTTAAACTTGTGCTTATATTTCCAAATTGTTTTGCTAATTTCCCTCAGGAAAGTGGTGAAATATTAAAATCACAAAAGAATGTATAATATCTTATGAGATTAGACTCTTATATGGAGCTTGGTTTAGATTTTGAGGTGTTTTGGATTTTATTTTTAGCTTAAAATCTATTTGCTTAGAGATACTTCTTAATTGATTTCCTAAGACTTAGTACTTTTTGTTATGACCTTTATCTTTAAATTACTCTCAATTTATTACTACTGGTATAATTATGTGATGAATAATGAGCAGGAAAGACCATATATATTTTGAGAAATTAATAAACTTGTACATTTCATACCATGGACCATTCATCATTTAACCAGTTTTCTTGCAAGTCCCTTCTCAGTAAATGATTCTGATTAGATTAAGATTTGGTTGACAAAATTGAGAAAGATTTATGGTAATAAAAGGGGAGAAAAGATACCATAAGTAGAAGAAAAAGACTTTAACAGCACCATTGCAAAAAAGATTTCAAAGGGTCACAAAACAGTCAACACTTATAGAAAACTAAAGATTATCCAATATCAACCTAATAAAACAGGGATGGAGTAAAGTCAGGTGCATTGGATTGGTAAGTAGTTTCTGCTCAACAAGTGGCACCCATTGTGATGCTCATAGCAAGTAAAAATCTGATGATATGTGACATTAGTGTCATGTTTAGAGTCTTTATTAGAATGTTTCACCTGAGCGATTTGATTTCAACAGCTTACATATTTTAAATTGCTTCTTTAAGAGTTCAAGTAGGATCTATTAATAGCAAGAAAATTGGTTACAGTTTTATGGTTTTTGCTGTGAAAATGTTTGTATTTTTAAATGGCACATTCTGATCATTAAAAACTTTTACAAATATAGATAGTGCGACTGATTCACGGAATAATTCAGACATGTCTGATCCACAATTCCAAGGTAGGAATGCACAGTATATGTGTTGTGTCTTTTATATGCTTCAAGTATTAATACTGGCTATCAGAGCATGAAATTACAATAATTTCTTGTGATTGTTATTGAAAATGCAAAATAAGAAAGGAGTAGGTTCGATAAGGCCCTAAAATGACCCCTATTTCTAGCTACAATTTTAAATTAGGCTGTTTTGACCAATATCGCAATGAATCATGGCTAATACAATGGCTAGATAGGAAATCTGTACTTTTGTTGAAAATTTACTTTCTTGCGTTCTATTCATGACATCACAAATAGCACTCATTTTGGTTTTCCTTGAAAAATTCAACGAAAACGGGTAAATTTGTGTTAAGTTTTTGGAATGGAAACAGAGCGCATGCGTTGACAAAAAATATCTTTTCATATAATGTTTACATGTTAAATATCTGACTTGAATATTTAGGTAGTCGACACCTGCGCTCTATGTTTCCTAGGCCTTAATTTGGTTGAAATTCTGACGATTCGGTCAATATTCGCAAAAATCTCTATTTTTGGCCTATTTGGGATGTAAAAATCGACGCTTTAAAACAAAACTTGGACAAAATAGTTTTATTTAACCTTTTCTTATGTCTTTTCATCAACTTAAAACATTTTTCATTTTCAAACATTTTTCATCTTCAAACATTGAACTAATATGGCCTTTACGGAACTTACCACTTTATGCATTTTCTTGTAATTAAAAATATATATCTTTCAGGGCCAGGACCTTAGTTAAAGGACATTTTAAGTCTCAGAATACAGGTTTAATTCACCTTTGCAATGAATAAAAAAGTTTCAAACTAAATATGTAAAGCATATACTACTGAATTTTCAAATAAATATGATCTGTTAGAATATTGACTGATTGATGTTAGCATAATTATAGATTATCAATGGTTTTTCAAAGGAGAGGGTGTTTCTAAGCTACAATCTCATCGAAAGCTGATAGATAGCCCTGAGATGAGATGTAGTCGAGAAACATCCTTGGGTTTGAAAGACCATTGATAATCTGTTTATTTCTGTTTTCCTATGCAACATCACTGACGTAGGCTCATGACGTCATACATTCTCTTTCTCACGACTGAGAAAAAATTATATCACTTGAGTAAGATTAAAAATATGAAAACTTATCACAAAAAAAAGATCAAACAAAAATTTAGAAAATAGCAATAATTTCAAGTAGCAAATATTCAGTAGAAGAACATATTGAACAATAAATCCTAATCTTTCAGTTCTGCAGAAACCGGTCCGGGACACAGTTATCGTCCTTTGATTTTCCTTGTCTACAAATAGAGTCCCTAGTGTGGACAGTGTATAACTTGCCAATTTTTTTCATACACCTTCCAAATTTATTTCTTTATATTTTATGCATAAAATAGTAAGTAAGGGGATGAAATTACATGTAAAAAAAATTGGGGCATGAATTTTTAGGTAAAGTAGTGATTTTGTCCAGTTTGAAAAGGTAAAAAATTACATGTATGTCTGAAGCTGTTAAACTGAATTACAGACCCCCGTAACATAAAATTATCCATATTCTGAGTTAGAGCCGATAGAATTTTCTATATTTTTGATATAATTTGTCCCAAAAGTAATACACTACACTGTAAAAATCTTTTTTGGATAGAGCAGGTGCGATTTTTTTAATTTGCGTATTTTGTCTGAAAGAAATGCACTACGAAATAACTGTGTTCCCGGGCCAACCTGACAATAAATCCTAATCTATCAGTTCTGCAGACAACCTGAATGGGACTAAGGAAGAAAATAAAGACTGCGAACACTTTAATAATGGCTGAAATTTTATCTTGCAAAAGGTCACTTCAAAGAGTTTGTTGCAGGGGTTATTTAGCAGACAAAGAGTGTGACCCTTATGTTTGACATTAGGTTTAATGTCACCACTCTGACTGGATTTTTCTCTCAAAGAACAATAATTTCATGCTCTAGATAAACCAGTAACCCCACATTATAGCTGTTTGTTCTTAATTCAAAGTACTTAGTATTGTGATGCAAAAATAAATAATCAAAACATAGTATATATAGATGTTTTATTTTTTTACCTGCAAGCTTGATTTTATACACCATTTATAATTTTATTTTCAATAACAGCAAGCTTTTAACACAATTTTATATGGCTCTGTCTTCAGTTCACATGTATTTTGCAGCTTTTGTTAACAACATAGTTATTTTTAATGAAAAGTTGTGACATTAACATCTCTTTTCAATTAACTTAAATCTAATTTTAATGAATATTTTTGTCATTATATGTATTTATATATTAAAAGAAACTGACTACATATGTATATACATATAAAACAATTTAATGTGTAAATATATAATACAAGTGTATTTATTATTGCTATTGTTACAGTCATATAAGAAAATATTACTGTAAATAAAATAATTTAAAACATTCAATCAAAATAAGCATATATCAAATTAATTTAGTTTTGCTTTAACAATGCAGATTAGAAATAGAATATGTACAGTGTCCTAATATCATGATTCTGCTTGTTTTATATGCATCTCATGAAGTTGTGACCCATAACAAATATAGGTTAATCTGACCTATAATGGTACAATACAATGACTTGTTTCCTACAACCTTGTTGAAATAAGATTAATTGTAAATAAATGTTTTTTCTCTGGTAGAATAGTTGTAAGGATCATATAAACATGCAACTACATGTAGATTCGTTTCATTTGGAATGTCAGCTTTCTCATAAAAGTATGACACTAGGACAAATTTTTTCATGTAAAATATGTCTCTAAAATTTTTTTAGGAAGATGTTAAGTTCATTATGATCCTTCATATACCAGTATATATGTGTCTGGGCCAGCAACCACCTTGTCGTTTCAAGTTCATAAATTTGACTGTTTAATTTTGATCAATTGTATTTCAGCAGTGCCATTGTCACATCCATCCAGAGATAAGCCAACAAGACTGTTACCAGACACACAAGAATTGTGCAAACGTTTGGAGGAAAAGATTGAATCTCTTACAAAAATGGGAGGCACCCTACAGAGAGAAAATAAAGGTTACTATCTTCACATATACATTGGTTGTACCAAACTTATTTGCTTCCAAATGAGTGATGTGACACATCTTTGCAAAGATGTCAAGCAAAAGTGTAAAATATGTAACATAGTATAATATAATCAGTAAATTCTCCAGAACAAAACTGTTTTAAGGGATTTTTTTTCTTCTTAAGATTTTGACATTACTGTCATATAAAAATAAATTAAAATTGGAACTAGCAAAATGATGCTTGACAAGATATCAGAAGAGACAATTATAGCCTGAAAGGGAGGATTCTCGATGAATAAAAGGGAGATCTTTAATATGAATGTATATACCATGAGAAAAATTACCTTTGAAATAAAAAGAAATCTAGTTTCATTTCATTCCCCAGTTGTTGGAGAACAAATCCAGGTGATTTTTTATCAAAATTGTTATATATATATAGGAATTAATGATTATCTGATAATCAAGAAAAAAAATTCAAGTGTAAAATTCATATAGGTAGGAGGAACGTGACAAACATGCAGATTTCGATCATATTCCATCTTCAACTTGAACATTGAACATTCCAAATTTCACACATTTTTATTTGAATGAGTGGTTGAAAATTTATCATAAAAAGGTGTAATTCTATAGATTACATGTTTATCAACCAGAAAAGATGAATAATTTAACCTTAAATCTGAATTTGTTTTGAAAGCTTGTTCTTAGGATTTTCTTTTTTTGAAAATGAAAAGTGATTGATACCTAACTTTCTGTTGGACTGACACAAAGTATTTTGGAAGCTACCAACTTCATTTTTTGCCTGTATGAATTTTTCAAGTTATCTAAGTATGTAAGAAGACAAATGATTTTGCTTATTGATAATTATTTAATTATCAAAAATTATTTGTTATATGGTATTTTGATGCCCAGCCTGCAATAAAAAAGGGGCGTTATGTTTTCTGGTCTGTGCATTCAACCATCCATCCATTGACTCTGTCAATTCTGTACTAGGTTCAAGTTTGGTTTAAGGCAAATTGTAATGACTTCTACTTGAAACTCATTACTAATTTTCATTATGAAGTGAAGTATTTAATATGAAGGCAAAATTAGGGATTTGACCTAGGAGTTTCCTGTTTTAAAAATTTGAGTTAATGGGAATTATTTCATTAAAAGGTAAACCACTAGAAATGATAAAATATTTTTGGTTACTGTAAATTCAGAATTTATTGTGTGCATTATTTGCATTAATAAAAACCTCTCAATAATTTCTGAATTTACTGTAGCTTGTTTTAACTTTGAGCACAAAGAATACACATGTAAATATTTATGAAGCATGAATTATTAGCTTGATTGTTAAAGGGTTATTTAATATTCATATTATATTTCAACATCTGACCACTATTTATTTAAGCTCTAAAATATATGTATATATATATTCTTTTACAGACACTGCAGAATTGATGAAGAAACAAGGAAGGAAGTTACAGAAAGTAAAGGATGGACAGACAAGAGGAAGAAAGTCAAAACGATGATAGATTTTTATATTAGGTCATGTTCTATTATTTTTTTAATTTGAGTCATTAGAATTGGATTTTGTCTCTGTTTCACTTCAACACAAGTGGATTTTACTTCCAGAGTAATAAATAATATTTGATATTAAATTATTAATATAAAGCAAAGCTGAATCGGTAAACATTCTTATTTTAACACATATTAATATTCTTTATTTTTATTCTGGACCTACATTACTCATAAAAGTGAGGATAATAATGTTAAGCTATTTACTTAAGTGTGTATTGTAACTGAAGCACCTACTAGGATAAAAATAATGCATTAGATTTCTGACCATGAACACACAAAGAACATGAAGCTGATAAGAAGTCCCCTAAAAAGTAATAGGTTTTTTTTTTGTTTGTGCTGAATTTTCTCAGACAATACAGGGATAAATAAAATAATGCTAATGTGGTTTTTGTTGTTGAACAAGATAGTGAGCTGTACTTAGTTTTATTGTTGTAAGTTAATTACATAGTGCTATTTATGTCTTTTTGTAATAACTGTTGCATTAAGGGAAACATAGCTGTATCTCTTTAAGTATAATTATCAGGAACATTTATTTTAAGTTATCTGATTAAGTCTACTTCAGAAAAAATTACTTGTGAAAGACCATTGATATTTGTTATATTGTTATGTTTGGAACCATGCATCCTATAAAAAGTACTAAGTAATTTCAGTAGTTATTCACTTTTTATTAATTTGTTTTTATATTTTTTCACATTTCTGAGAGTTATTGTGGACTTGAATTTTGGAAATGACCCCTTTATCTTCAATTTTCTCTCTTCAGTGGCATCTTTTAACATGTTAGAAATTTTACATACTGTCTTTAGATCAGACTAAAGATGAAGACATCTGTTGTTCATAATCTCTCTCTTTTTTGTGCTTTTTACACATTTAAAAAAATGAGGTAAATTAAAAAAAAACAAAAAACTATTAAATATTCATTTAATATATAAAAAAAATACCTATCACATCAGAGAAAATTTGATTGTTCTTATATTTATCTCTTATTGTAACACCTGTTTTCAATAGATTGTATATGACATCAGTATTTCAGTAACTTATCAGCATTATTCATTACACATGTATACCTAACATAATAGTTAATTCCATGCATACTTAAAATTTTGTTTATTAAGATCATCAAAATACAATAATAAAGTGCATTGTGTGGACAAAGAGAGAATACACCTTAATTGATATGTGTTCGCCATTACTGGACATATCACAAAATTTCCCTTTAAATTTTTACTTCACAATAGAAAATGTCTTGCGCCACCAAAAAAGTAATTCTTGTACGATGTCAATAGTTCAAGTGCTGTAAATTCTCAGGGTCAAGTGTTGCTTATTCTTAAAAAATGATAATGTCTATGAGTTCTTATGCATACAAAATATATCTTATCATATCCACCATATTAGACATGGAATTAGATATTTATTAGTATGCTATTATAACTAATAAAGGTTATTTTTACATAGATTTTTTATTTTAAAACTTAGCCTATTGCCAGTACAATGTATTACTTTAAAAAGAATTAGGAGTTTTTTTATGTATGAGAAATACCAACAGAAAAAAACTTTATGAAATCCTTGGAACTGTATAGCTGTGATAGTCATTTATTTAAAATACTAATATTCATCTGTCAACAGTATCCCCATACATCAATGTAATCCCTTTTTCAGATAAGCACCACATATTGAATTTTCTCCCCTAAAAATGAGTTTGGTAATATAATGAATTTTAAATTGAATAGTGTATCTATGCCATCACTCACCCTAACTACTCAATTTCATCCCCATGCATCAACATATGAACTATGTGTTAAACTCGTAAAATTCTAACAATAAGTTCTATGATATACCCTGTGGTAGCATTATAGAGAAACGTCGTGCTTTCTTGTGAAATATATTAAAATTGTCAATCTTCAATGATTAAAACAATAGTGTGGCAGCTTTGATACTGATATGAATTTCATGCTACCAATAACCTTAGACTAAAATCAGGAGTGGAGGAATAGCTAGTTTCAAATCAAGAACTTTTCTTCCTTTGTTAACTGTTTTCTTTCACTTTAAATGAACTGTTTTAAACACATATCATTGTAATCAGGTTTGCAAATTGTTTATTTTTCTTATAAACAATATGTGCGTTTTTTGTTCTTGGCTCTTAATTGTAATTCAGTTTTCCCTGTGATTTAAGTGGTATGAAAAAAGATACAATAAAATGTTATGCAGCTGACCAGATAGGTTTCAATATGACATCGTTTGAGTTTAAGTTATTCCCTTGGCCTCCATTTTTGACAAACCAAATTAAAATATGCTATACAAACAAGTCTCATATAAGATCCTTACTAGATTGAAGTGACGAACCAAGTAAGACTAAAAGAAAAAAAACTGCTTTTTCTAGTCTAGTGGTCAGCATAACAAGTTGAATTTGGTCAATTTATGAAGGAAATTGTGCACTTAGAGCTCCAAGATGGCAGTAACTCTTACTAAAATTATGTCAACTGCAACTTACTTATAATTATCACAGTTTGTGTACTTATCATCTTCAAGCTTAAAAAGTTCTCAAGATGATAAACACCAATATGTTTTTATTTCCTAGTATGTACATGTATTTAATGATTTATTTTCCACAAATAAATTAACATCACATAATTTGTTATCATTCCATATTTTACAAGATGCCATATTTATTTTATATTTAAACATTGTCTGTGATATTGTATGTGTGATATATTTGAACATATAAATGTAGATTTCTAGTTAGTTGTCCAATGTATTTGTGATATATAAGATTGGTTAAGTGATATTTGTATTATGTCTTGTCTGTGCATATCACTTTATCAAGTCAAAAGTGTGTTAGCTGTATATTTACCAACTTTTATTGTAAATAAGTATATTTTTATTCTCTCGAATCTGAGCTCTGTATTGCCATGTTTAATATAGTTGCAGATATTAACTATACAAATACTGATATCTTAAAAGTTTTAAAGCATGGACGCCTCATCAGTTTATCAATTTTCTAGCTAATGGGCAATTCAAATACTGCAAATTCAGAAATTAATGCATGCATTTATTATTGTGAATCCTTGACCATCGGCAAAAATACAAAATCTAGTTAATGCTATTGCAAAAAGTTTATGCAGGAAAAACACTGCTGAGTTTATGAATACTAGTTTTTCTCATTAATAAAAACATCACAATAATTTCTGAATTTTACATTGGATATTTTCAAATACTTCTTCATTATACTGACAACTGTTAATGAAATAAAATTTGGTCATGCCAAATTAATTAAACAGTTATGTTACCAGAATCAAGCTGCTTTAACTTTTGAATTTTGATATCAACTGTTAACAACCTTACGGCAGCTTTTATAACAATCTGAATAAATTTGACAACTTGTAAGAAAAAGAGAGATAATGGATTTAAGAAAAAAATTACAAACAAACTTTACTCTGTATTTATATGTGTTTGTGTAAAAATAGTTTTCAATCTGTACGGAACAGAGTTTAATAAAAGCATGTAGTATATATAATATATATATAGTATATATATATAATATATATATTATATAGAAAACTTCATAGAGAATTAAGAATTGCTATTATGTTGTTTTGTAGCTTTTTGAATTTGGACTTATTGAGAAATTGATTTGGTATTGTTTATCAATACATGTTAAATATTAGGGGGAAATGAAACAATTGATTTCTCAAAAAAAAAGTGTAAAAAAGGAGGGGGGATTTTCTGACTGCATGTTCAATGAATGAAAATTTATTTTATGGAAAGTTATAGCTGAGGATGAAGTCCTCATAACTGTAGAAAAAATTGTATAAAAGTCAATATATAAGTGATTTCAAAATTGTTTTCTCTCTTTGGCTTATGAGCAATAATCTCCTATGGTTTTTGATTGGGAAGCCATCTTGTTGCTGTAAAAACAGAATGAGCTTATACCAAATTGAGTAAGTTTTAACAAATAATCTTTTTTCAAAAACAAATAAATGGTAAAAAAATTGTCTGATTTGGTTTTTGTTCTAATTACCAATACATGTAGCAAAAATAGCAAACCACAAATTATAGGGACTTTGATCTCTTACACATGTTAACACCTGCCTCATATTATATATATTTTGACATGTAAATATTTCCTATATTTATATTTATAATAAATCAGAGATTTGTAATTGTTTCTTTTCATTTATTTATGATTGATAAAAATTTATGATACCATTTCTAAATATTCAGAAGTGTAATTTGAAAGTAATTATGAATGTCAAAAGAAATAATGACAGGAAACAAAAAAAAAAATTCATAGCCCATTTGTACCTATAGTTAATTTAGCATTACAAATATTTGTTGTCAGCTAAGGTTTCTACTATATATCAGTCACTACTGGACAAATAACATAATTGCTTAGTCTTTTATTAGCTCACCTAGCCAAAAGGGCTATCCTAGCTATTGTCATCACCTTACATCAGTTAAAACTTTTTAAGGGATCTCCACCATAACCATCAGACTAATTTCAACCAGAACTTTGTTTTTTATATGGAAATCTATAAAAGATAGAGAAATTTAAAGGAGCAAAAAAGCTCTGAATGTCAAGATCTACATTCTTCCTAGGCCTGTTTGCACCAAAATTATCAGATGACCCCTTAAGGAGTTATTACCCTTAACTGATTTTTTTGGGGGATAATTTTCATGTTTTTGCATATATATACTTTTAATAAACCATATAAAATAGGTAGAAACAGATTAAGGCAAAAATGATCCATCAATACAAAACTACAAAAATGCCAATATGAGTGAAACTGTTGGATGACTCATAAGGAGTTATAACCTGCAAATGAAATTTTTTTTTTTATTAATTTCAGTGTTTTTGCATATCTCAAAAATTATAATAAATAGGTAGAAAAAAATGGATGACTCCTTGAAAAATCATAGCCTTAAATGATTGTTTTTAACTAATATTTTTGTACATTAAATAAATTTTTGAAGATCTTCTCTGAACCAATTTCAACCACACTTGGGGTTAATGACATATATAATTTTGTATTTTCCCCAGTCAGTCAACAAACATGGGCGTCATGACTAAAAAAAGATAATTAGTTTAAAATTTCATCAATGGTCATTATCTTAAAAAATGTAGTAGATGAAGAAAATCCAACAAAGCAAAAATGCTTAGAAGGACAAGATCAACCCATTTCCCGTTTGTACCAATATAAATCAAATGACTTCTTCAGGAGTTATTACTATAAAATGACAATTTTTGGCTATAGTTCATCTTTTTTTTAAACATATTTTCATGTCTGCTGTATAATTTTTCAAAGATTTTCTCTGAAACTACTAAACCAATTTCAACCAAACTTAAAGAAAATGATCAATTGTGGTATCTAGGATAAAGATTGTGTTGGGTCAGACAACAAACATGGCTGCAATGGCTAAAATAGAACATAAGGGGAAAATGTATTTATTGTTATATGTCTTGAAAACCATAATAGATTGTCAGAGTAAACCACCAAATTTTATTTGTGGAGGAAGCAGGAAAAATAGAAATCCTAGTAAATTAAGATTGGATTGCAACGTGCTGGGTTCGACCTCAAAATCTCAGTGCTGACAGTCAAAATAGATCGAGAAGGGTAAACATGCTAGGAATGTCAAAATCAACCTACTTCCAATTTTCTCCATAACTATCAAATGACTGCTTAATGATTTTTTGCCATTAAATATTGAATTTTCCTGCTTTTACCAATTATCCATAAAATTATAATAGATAGGTAAAAACTGTAAATGGAGAAAATTATTAGCAATACAAGACCTACAAAAATGACCATTGGATGACTCTGATAGAAGTTGTGGTCCTTAAATAACAATTTTTGACAAATTTTCTTGTGTGTCCACTTATCTCAAGAATAGAATTTACTATAATATATAAATAAAAACAGTTCAATTGACCAGCTATACAAGAGCTACAAAAAATGGCATGCTACTGAAACAATTGGACGACTCCTTAATGAGTTATTGCCTTAAAAGCAACGTGTTTTTGAAATGTATCGGAAACTATTAAAGATCGGTTAAAACATTTCACTGCAATAATGATCGACAGCAATACAAGATGTACGAAATTAACATAATTGATTGCATTAAAGGTTAAATGTAACATCCCATGGCATATCTTTACCAAGTGGGCACTTCAGGCACATATTGAAAAGCAATTAAAAGTAATACTAGTATTCAAAATACAAAACAATGTATTGGTCAGTCAAACTTTATTTGACAGTGACGAAATTTTGAATTTCTGCCAAACAAAAGTATATGATGGTTCAGTATGGATGGGTGTTTAATGTCCAATGGCAAATGGACGAGAACAGATTAATGCAACGTAAATATGTAGGACTCAATTGCGATGGGGACGCTAAAACGCGATGGTCACGCTAAAGTGCAATGGTCCAAGCTAAAGTGCGATGGTTTGATACACTAAAGTGCGATGGTCTGTGCTATTAAATGGAACACGCTAAAGTCCGATTTCTCAATACGCTAAAGTGCGTTTTCCCGATAACAATGGAAATCAACAAAAATGAAAAAGCGGATTACCGTAAAAGTGACGCTATGTATGAAACACTTTGAAAATCATATTTTCCAGTAGTTCGGTAAAATAAATTAATAAAATAATGTAAACTAATTTTTGCTTGTTGAACGCACAGTGGCAAATATCACATGCATATGCAGGATGATCATACACATGAACATTTGATCATTTATACTGAAATAAATGTAATTTAACTAAAGAGGAAAAAGAGATTCTGGAGATTGATTCACGGCTTGGATGTTTAGGAATTGAATTCGTCCAAATTTAATTTAGCGGCTCCTTCTATGTTTGTAATTCCATGTTGTGAACTTGCGTGAAATAAAGTCTACTTTTTGACTTTCTAATGGAATCATTCTATAAAACAATTTTTTTACAATACAGTTCGTCATTTCTGTTAAAGATATGGATATACGACTACTAGACAGTAACCTAACTACCAGAGGTATAGAATCATAGTATAATTGCTAATGAGACAACTCTCCATCCTAGACCAAATGTCATTAATGTAAGCAACTATAGGTTATCCCATGGCCATTCAGCATTGGCTAACACCGCATAGTATTCTATAATGACCAAAGGGCAACAAAACGACCAGTGTGAAACCTGATTTATATACAAAACAATAAACGGAAAACAAATATGAAATACAGGAACAAACGACTACCACTGAATTACAGGTTCCTGGCTTGAGACAGGTTCATAAAGTATATATTAGCTACTGCAATGTAACCATTACACTAACGTACTTTAAATAAAAAAAAATGACACAAATATCCACACAAGACCAAATGTCGTTGATATATGAACTAACAGTACGGCCTTTAACGAGGTGCCTTGACCCACGCCGCATAGCCAGCTATATAGGGCTACACTATTTGATTAATAAACATAATAATAAACAATCAAAGTACTGAAGTACTGAACATCGGATGACCACAAGTTCTTGTGGATGGTCAAAAGCACTTGTCTCAGAAAAAAATCACATATCTCTTTACCTGAAACTGAGGTTAATGTACAGAGATATTTTTTTTTCTGAGACAAGTTCGTGTTGGGATGATGAATAAATGACAGGAAATTCAACTTCACCGTAATAACTATTATATTTTATCGCACCGCGGGTAAATTATCACATTGTGATCGGTTTAACGCCGTCACGTGGTGACCCCCTATGGATCCGTAGGGGGTTAGTAAATTCCATAGTGGGTTCATGACGTCACGTCTACTGTTAATGGTGACGTCATCTATTGATGTTTTTGTATTTCATTGTTTATTTTTCTACAAAACGCTGCAGAAAAAGTATCGCGTGCGATAAATTCGTTATATGGTTAACTACTGACCCCCTACGGATCATAGAGGGTGAATAAAATCCATAGGAGATTCGGCCTCCGGCCTCACCCCCTATGGATTTTACTAACCCTCTATGGATCCATAGGGGGTCAGTAGCGAACCATATAACTTATAGTAGTGATACAAATCAGTATACACTGATTTGTTGTTATATATCATATTAAAATAACAGTTACATGTATATATGATTTCCATCCATTTGTATATCATTCTATTCTACTATTCTTAAAATAGTGCAATGCAAGTGCATGGTGGACACTTTTCTGTAAAAATTCGATTTTTCTTAAAGATTGGAAACGAGTAGGCATTCATATTTTCCCGCAAAAACAATTACAGAGTTACCGGTCCTTATCGGTATTGTCCCAAAAGGTTCTTTGAGATATTCTTCCGCATGCTTGATCACAATTTTTCGGTACGTGTGCATTGATATTATCAATGATTTTTTACTTATATGTATATATCTAACTACAAAACATTTTAATATTATTAATTTATGTTGTAAACAAAAATATTTTTATCAGTATTCATTAAAGAGATGTATTTATATCAAACGATAAGGAATGTTATTTTGCACTCGTTTATGTGCGCGTATTTATCATGTTTAT